CCGACGCCACCGCCGGCTCCGCCCCCGCTTCCAAGGAGGAGGACGACGATGACATCGACCTGTTCGGCTCCGACGAGGAGGTGAGGCCGTGGTGATGTCACAGTGGCGTCAAAGATGTTGATTCATTCAGTTTCAGTGTGTTTACATTGTCCCTGGGATTTGTCTGGCAGGAAGACGCAGAGGCCGCCAGGCTGAAAGAGGCACGTCTGGCAGAGTACGCCGCCAAGAAGTCAAAGAGTAGGTTACCGACGACTACCAGTCACAGGGTCGCTAACGGGGTCACATGGTCGGTCTGTCAGTGTGGGGTCGGGATTTATTTTTTTTTCATGTCGACTCTTCATGATGATCAACCAATCACCATCTTTCGGCTGACTGCCTGATGGACGCCTTGTTTACCTGAGAGAGTCCTCCAATCAGAGGGCTCTATGGCGCAGAGCTGTTTCCATGGTAACTGACTCCTCCCCTCCCTCCTCAGAACCCGCCCTCATCGCCAAATCCTCGATCCTGTTGGACGTGAAGCCGTGGGACGACGAGACGGACATGGCGAAGCTGGAGGAGTGCGTCCGCAGTATCCAGATGGACGGGCTGGTCTGGGGACAGTGTAAGAATACTGCAGTAACACTACACAGTACTACACAGTACTACAGTACTGACGGGTCTCTGTCTGCAGGCTGATGATGATCTCACTCACCATCTTTCGGCTGAACATCAGATGAAACTTCATGATCTGAAGCTGCAGAAACAAACTGACCTGCGATCAGTTTCAGACGTACTGATTATTAACGATGATCTGATCTCTCTGCAGCCAAACTGGTTCCCGTGGGTTACGGCATCAAGAAGCTGCAGATCGGCTGCGTGGTGGAGGACGACAAGGTGAGCATGTCTACCTGCGGGGCCCCGCCTTTGCCTGTTTACCTGCGGGGCCCCGCCTTTGCCTGTTTACCTGCGGGGCCCCGCCTTTGCCTGTTTACCTGCGGGGCCCCGCCTTTGCCTGTTTACCTGCGGGGCCCCGCCTTTGCCTGTTTACCTGCGGGGCCCCGCCTTTGCCTGTCCACCTGCGGGGCCCCGCCTTTGCCTGTCCACCTGCGGGGCCCCGCCTTTGCCTGTCCCTGTCTCTCACCTGCCTTGTGGTTACCTGTCCACAGGTGGGCACAGACATCCTGGAGGAACACATCACGGCTTTCGAGGACTTCGTCCAGTCGATGGACGTCGCTGCTTTCAACAAGATCTGAAACCTGAAACGTTAATAAAAAGCACTTGAACACAACACGCTGCTGTGGTTCTTTCAGGCGTCCAACACGCGCGTCTCTGTTTAAATGTTGAGCGACGACAGGAAGTTCTAACAGCTGGGCCTAAAAAACTGAACCTGAGATTTAACCGTGTGCCTACGTGAACTGTGTATAAATATGTGAACTGTGTATAAATACACCATGAATACTGTGTGTGTAAATACACGTATTGTGTATCACTGTGCTGATGAACAGACCCGACAGCACGCACACAAACACCGCTCAGATCATAAACCCGGATCCGTCTCTGGGTCCCGCACCCTGGAGTCCGTGCGGGTGAGTTCCCTCTCCGGCCTGCTGGCGGCGGCGCTGCCCCGCCTCCGAGCGCCAGATTCCCGCCCTGCCGGAAATCCCGCCGCAGAAGAAGAGTCAGACCGGAACCTAAACAGCGCGGCAGAGCAGCGCGCGGCGGAAGAACATTTTAATCTCTGTGAAAGTAAACAACAACAACAAGCATCTGCAGGTAAACAAACACAATCGTCCCTTATTGCACCTCGGCGTGCTTCACTAGAGCCAGCCAATCAGCGTCGCTGCAGGACGCCCGCTCAGCTAACAGCATGCTAACGGCTAGCCGGCTGCTAACAGCAGCTGTAACGGCGGAGACACGTCACCGTCCGCGGCGTTACCATGGTTACCGCGTGTTCGGGCCGACCCGGGAGTTTGACCCGGTTTAACCGAACCGGGATTAAACCGGAGCCGTTAGCGCCGCAGCTAGTTAGCTTCACACAGTCAGCCAATCAGAGCGCAGCTGCCGCCGCGCTGTGATTGGTCCAGGCAGAGAGCGGCTCTGACGTCATTTACATTTCAGAAAGCGGGTTAGTGAAAACTGAGAAAGTTGAGCCCAGATGAGAGAAACTGCGGGTCAGTAACCCCTGATGCTGTGAAGCTGACCTGCTGGGAGGAGGTTTAACGAACGCGGAGCCTGAACTGTCTGACATTTCCTCCTGCAGACGGTCCGAATCACGGTTAAAGAGGCTGTTTTTCTAACCCCAACATGACGCTTTCTGTCATCGATGTGCGGACAGAGAGTTATCTTTGGACATCGTGGATTTATCCTCAGCACAGAATTAAATCTATAAGCTGCTCTGTCCTTTATAACTCTGTGTACATGAAGGCAAAACACTTAGCGTGCTGTTTAAACTGATCAGAGAACAGTGACCTCTCATGTTGTAGTCGCACAGATTGATTACTCCTCTGAGTGAGGATGACTCTGGTGCAGCTGAAACTAATACATGGAGTTTTTCATTATCTGCTGACAGTCTGAATGTGTTTTGACAGCATTTCATAAAATACAAAATGAGCCAGATTTTATTAGTTAGATATTATTAGTTTGAACCTGGACACATTTTACTCAAAATCATTAATAGACCTGCTGAGCCTGACTGTCACTTTTCAACCACAGGTCCATGAGGAGCCTAAACTGTGTCTGATCTGTTTGATTAATATTTTCATCTTCAGTTATTGCCACCGGCATTTAGTCCTGTCAGGTTCCAGCTGAATAAACAGACCTGTAGCTGTTTAAAATGAATAAACTGCAGGAGAATTCACCACTTCATCATTCATTAAGGAAACTCCAGTCTGGTAAATGATGAATGAGCAACGCTGTATAAAATGTATTTTTAACGCATCGATCCTCCGCTCCTGCGTTTTAGAGCCAATCATGTTGTGCGTTGGCAGCGTTCATATTTCTAGCTCCACCCGATTAAAATGGAGGCTCTGCCTTTATTTACCCGTTGCCATGGTGAATCGTAGTATCGGAGCTCCATTGATGAGGCTTTTTTCATCCCCACGCACGCGTTTCCATCTGGCTCAACATACTCTGAGCTGACTGAACTGATTCTGATCGGCATGCGATGAAGAGGTCTGAACTTCTGAACCACAGCTCCTTTATTAGGTGCGTGAGCAAAATGTCCAGCGTGGTTAAATGCTGAAACAAATACAGACAGGAAGAGCTCCTTTGAAATGATTTAATGGTTCAGTAAAGACTGTTTTCCATCGAAACACCTGTGTGACTGCACGGCTCCAGCAGTCTCACCTTCTGGGTCCGTTGTTGATCAAACTCCACCGTGGTCGTCCAAATTGAAACTTCCTTCACTTGTACTACCCCTACCCTGAAGCTACCCCACAGGGTTTTACTCACTTTCAGCACAAACGGGACGGTTTTGTGACGCCGCGCTCACAGTATTTCAGCGTTAAAGACGTGAAACGAGGAGGTGTCATTAATCAAACCTGGAAGGTCGCCTGAGGAAACGTCTGTCGTGACCAAGATGGCAGCCGTGGATAGCGGAGACAGTCGCGTACCTATTATTATTATTATTATTATTATTATTATAATAGGGTTTATATTTTAATATTTAGTTTAATAAACCGTCACAGAGAAACAGTTTGTGTTTAACTTCCATTTCTTTCTCGCTAATTAAAAACTTTTTATTGATTAAATACGACCAGCTCCCGTTTATTAATCATATCATCGTCAATGTTTGCTGTTAGCGTCACCTGTTTCTGTCTTCAGGCTCATGGACTCTCCACCTGAAACTCTCACCTGGTTACCGTTGGTTACAGCATGGCGCGCTCTGATTGGACAGATAACTCACTGACTGCACTGCCTCCAGGTGACCGACCATTAGCGTAATTAATGTTAAATGAACAGGTGAGGTTGTTGGTGGTCATTCAGAATAATGATAATATTTTATGTTGACGTGTTTCAGATCTCCAGCCAGCAGCAGGATGTCTGACTCCTCTGATGAAGGTAAAAACACAAACACACTGTGGTTTTAGATTTTAGATTTACTTCCCTGATTTAACTGTGTTTGTGTGTGTGTCAGATGACCAGTGGAAGGCGGAGTCTACCCGCAGGTGAGTCTACCTGTTGGTTATTCTCTCTGTTGACATGTGTTTGGTTATTAGACTCTTCAGGTATGTTTTCTAGAAATGTATTGGACCATTTTTGAAAACATAGTCAGTTTCTATAAATGTTCTGCGTGATGTTCAGGTGTTTCTGTAGTCAGGATCATGTTACTCAGGTTTTTACTCCTTTCTATGATCATATTTTACACGTTTATACTGAATCCTGCTTTTAGATAGAGGGTTTTTTCTCCCTCTCTGTGTCTGACAGGATGTGGGCGGAGTCTCAGCCGGGTCCTTCCAGGTGTCAGCCCAGCAGACAGGGTTATTGTGGATACTGCAGAGTCCTTTACAGCAACCTGGAACAGGTACAGACTTTACACCTCAAGCTGCAGTCATGTGACCTGAGCTGTCCAATCAGAATAGAGCAGGCCGCACACCGTTTTCCTGTCTGTTCTCTCAGCACCTGTCCAGCCTCCGACACCTGGATTCTGTCCGGGCGTCCTCCCGAGGCTCCAGCACTGTCTCCTCCACCAGCAGTAGCAGAACCAAACTAACCCTGCTGGAGCGCTTCCTGCAGGACGTCCTACACCACCACCCGCACCGCTACAACGACCCCAGGTAACTGAAACAAACAAACCCGCGCTGCTACGGCGACCCCAGGTAACTGAAACATACCCGCACCGCTATGACGACCCCAGGTAACTGAAACAAACAGACCCGCACCGCTACGACGACCCTGGGTAACTGAAACAAACATACCCGCACCGCTACGACGACCCCGGGTAACTGAAACAAACATACCTGCACCGCTACAATGACCCCGGGTAACTGAAACAAACATACCCGCACCGCTACAACGACCCCGGGTAACTGAGACAAACATACCAGCACCGCTACGACGACCAAGGTAACTGAAACATACCCGCACCGCTATGACGACCCCAGGTAACTGAAACAAACAGACCCGCACCGCTACGACGACCCTGGGTAACTGAAACAAACATACCCGCACCGCTATGATGACCCCAGGTAACTGAAACAAACAGACCCGCACCGCTACGACGACCCTGGTTAACTGAAACAAACATACCCGCCCCGCTACAAACAAACAGACCCGCACCGCTACGACGACCCCAGGTAACTGAAACAAACATACCCGCACCGCTACAACGACCCCAGGTAACTGAAACATACCCACACCGCTACGACGACCCCGGGTAACTGAAACATACCCGCACCACTACGACGACCAAGGTAACTGAAACAAACAGACCCGCACCGCTACGACGACCCCGGGTAACTGAAACAAACATACCCGCACCGCTACGACGACCCCGGTAACTGAAACATACCCGCACCGCTACGACGACCAAGGTAACTGAAACAAACATACCCGCACCGCTACGACGACCCTGGGTAACTGAAACATACTCGCACCGCTACGACGACCCAAGGTAACTGAAACAAACAGACCCGCACCGCTACGACGACCCCGGGTAACTGAAACAAAACATACCCGCACCGCTACGACGACCCCGGGTAACTGAAACATACCCGCACCGCAACGACGACCAAGGTAACTGAAACAAACATACCCGCACCGCTACGACGACCCCGGTAACTGAAACATACCCGCACCGCTACGACGACCCCAGGTAGCTGAAACAGACCCGCACCGCTACGACAATCCCAGGTAACTGAAACAAACATACCCGCACCGCTACGACGACCCCGGGTAACTGAAACAAACATACCTGCACCGCTACAATGACCCCGGGTAACTGAAACAAACATACCCGCACCGCTACAACGACCCCGGGTAACTGAGACAAACATACCAGCACCGCTACGACGACCAAGGTAACTGAAACAAACATACCCGCACCGCTACGACGACCCCGGGTAACTGAAACAAACATACCCGCACCGCTACAACGACCCCGGGTAACTGAAACATACCCGCACCGCTACAACGACCAAGGTAACTGAAACAAACATACCCGCACCGCTACGACGACCCTGGGTAACTGAAACAAACATACCCGCACCGCTACAACGACCCCGGTAACTGAAACATACCCGCACCGCTACGACGACCCCGGTAACTGAAACATACCCGCACTGTTACGACGACCCAAGGTAACTGAAACAAACATACCCGCACTGTTACGACGACCCAAGGTAACTGAAACAACATACTCGCACCGCTACGACGACCCCGGGTAACTGAAACAAACATACCCTCCCCGCTATAATGTCCCCAGATAGCTGAAACAAACATACCCGCCCCGCTACAACGTCCCCAGATAGCTAAAACAAACACAGTCGCACCGCTACAACGACCCCGGGTAACTGAAACATACCCGCACCGCTACAACGACCAAGGTAACTGAAACAAACATACCCGCACCGCTACGACGACCCTGGGTAACTGAAACAAACATACCCGCACCGCTACAACGACCCCGGTAACTGAAACATACCCGCACCGCTACGACGACCCCGGTAACTGAAACATACCCGCACTGTTACGACGACCCAAGGTAACTGAAACAAACATACCCGCACTGTTACGACGACCCAAGGTAACTGAAACAAACATACTCGCACCGCTACGACGACCCGGGTAACTGAAACAAACATACCCTCCCCGCTATAATGTCCCCAGATAGCTGAAACAAACATACCCGCCCCGCTACAACGTCCCCAGATAGCTAAAACAAACACAGTCGCACCGCTACAACGACCCCAGGTAACTGAAAGTCTGAATTTTTTCTCAGATTATTACCGCTCTCTTCGGGCTCCTGGCTGGTTTTATAATAGTGGACCTAACATGCAGTTAAAGAGGTCTGCTTTTTGTCTTTTCCCCTCTCCTTTATTGAATTATATACCTTTTTTGTGCATGTAACAGGTTTGCAAAGTGAAAAAGTCCAGCCCAAAGGGAGTTCCCACCTCCAACAGAAAACTCTGCTCTGAACTGAAAACAGCTTGTTTGGAGTCCAGCCGCTTACCTTTCATCCCTATGACGGGGTGACAGGGATGACAGGGATGAAAGCTAAATGTGCGTCATAACGCTCGCCAAGCCTACTCCGACACTCCCTCAGAAACAGTGAGCTGCAGCACACAGCTCTCCTCTTCCTTCCAAACAATAGCCAACATCTTGTGTAGCAGTCAGAGTTTGTCAACCCTGAGTTTTCTTGATAACTCTGAGTAGGTTACACTCCCTTTGACCTCTGACTTGTGGTGATATAAACAAACTCACCTCTCCTGCTGCAGTACTCATGTTTGATACGTTGACATGTTTGTGTCCCCGTCAGGCCGTCTCACGCTGACCTCCCCTCAGTCGCCGCCCCTCCGTTGCCGAGGGAGGAACTTGATGAACTCCGTTTCTCTGACGACGACAGCCGGTCACTCGGCACCCGAGAACAATTGCCTAGCTCTGACGACGCCTCCTGTCAGCCGGCCAGTCAGTCAAAGAGAGTCATAGAGGGGGCGGGTCAGGAGAGGGTGTCTACACCAATCAGAGAGCGGGAGGAAGGAGGGGCCGCCCCTCCAGGGCACACACATTCATCACACGCACAGACCCCGCCTCCTGTCCACAGGAAGGCCCACAGGAAGACGAACAGGAGGAAAACCAGCGAGTCCTTGTCCCCCTCACCGCCCCACAGGGATTCAGGTCCTGGTCCCCAACCCTCCTCAGAGCTGAGGCCCTCCCTGACTCCTGGTCTTGACCCCGGAACCTGTCAACCATCAGAGCTCAGGCCCTCCCTTACTCCTGGTCTTGGCCACAGAACTTGTCCCCCGTTAGAGCTGAGCCCCTCCCTGAGTCCGGGTCCACACCCTGGAAAATGCCCCCCATCAGAGCTAAGGCCTTGGCTGAGCTGGCAGAAGGAGAGGAGAGAGGCTCATAAAGAGGAGGCCTTCTCCTCAGACCACAGTGACCCCCTGGACCAGACTATCGAGGAGGTTTGTCTTTTACAGTCAATTATGTTTTTTATCATCTTAAATAAGTCATCTCTTCAGGGTATCCTCTCGTTCGTTACAGTCATCTCTTCGGGGAATCCTCTCGTTCGTTACAGTCATCTCTTCGGGGTATCCTCTCGTTCGTTACAGTCATCTCTTCGGGGAATCCTCTCGTTCGTTACAGTCATCTCTTCGGGGAATCCTCTCGTTCGTTACAGTCATCTCTTCGGGGTATCCTCTCGTTCGTTACAGTCATCTCCGGGGAATCCTTTCGTTCGTTACAGTCATCTCTTCGGGGAATCCTCCCGTTCGTTACAGTCATCTCTTCGGGGTATCCTCTCGTTCCTTACAGTCATCTCTTCGTGGGTATCCTCTCGTTCCTTAAAGTCATCTCTTCGGGTATCCTCTCGTTCCTTAAAGTCATCTCTTCGGGGTATCCTCTCGTTCCTTAAAGTCATCTCTTCGGGGTATCCTCTCGTTCCTTACAGTCATCTCTTCGGGGTATCCTCTCGTTCCTTACAGTCATCTCTTCGGGGTATCCTCTCGTTCCTTAAAGTCATCTCTTCGTGGGTATCCTCTCGTTCCTTACAGTCATCTCTTCGGGGTATCCTCTCGTTCCTTACAGTCATCTCTTCGGGGTATCCTCTCGTTCCTTAAAGTCATCTCTTCGTGGGTATCCTCTCGTTCCTTACAGTCATCTCTTCGGGGTATCCTCTCGTTCCTTAAAGTCATCTCTTCGTGGGTATCCTCTCGTTCCTTACAGTCATCTCTTCGGGTATCCTCTCGTTCCTTAAAGTCATCTCTTCGGGGTATCCTCTCGTTCCTTAAAGTCATCTCTTCGTGGGTATCCTCTCGTTCCTTACAGTCATCTCTTTGGGGTATCCTCTCGTTCCTTAAAGTCATCTCTTCAGGGTATCCTCTCGTTCCTTACAGTCATCTCTTCAGGGTATCCTCTCGTTCCTTACAGTCATCTCTTCGGGGTATCCTCTCGTTCGTTACAGTCACCTCTTCGGGGTTCCTTAAAGTCATCTCTTCGGGGTGTCCTCTCCTTCCTTACAGTCATCTCTTCGGGGTATCCTCTCGTTCGTTACAGTCATCTCTTCGGGGTGTCCTCTCGTTCCTTACAGTCATCTCTTCGGGGTATCCTCTCGTTCCTTACAGTCACCTCCTCGGGGTTCCTTAAAGTCATCTCTTCGGGAAATCCTCTCGTTCGTTACAGTCATCTCTTCGGGGAATCCTCCCGTTCGTTTCAGTCACCTCTTCGGGGATCCTCTCGTTCCTTAAAGTCACCTCTTCGGGGTATCCTCTCGTTCCTTACAGTCATCTCTTCGGGTATCCTCCGTTCGTTTCAGTCACCTCTTCGGGGTATCATCTCGTTCCTTACAGTCATCTCTTCGGGGTTCCTTAAAGTCATCTCTTTGGGGATCCTTAAAGTTATCTCTTCGGGGTTCCTTACAGTCATCTCTTCGGGGAATCCTCTCGTTCCTTAAAGTCATCTCTTCGGGGAATCCTCTCGTTCGTTACAGTCACCTCTTCGGGGAATCCTCTCGTTCCTTAAAGTCACCTCTTCGGGGTATCCTCTCATTCCTTACAGTCATCTCTTCGGGGTATCCTCCCGTTCGTTTCAGTCACCTCTTCGGGGTATCATCTCGTTCCTTAAAGTCATCTCTTCGGGGTATCCTCTCGTTCCTTACAGGCATCTCTTCGGGGTTCTTTAAAGTCATCTCTTCGGGGTTCCTTACAGTCACCTCTTCGGGGAATCCTCTCGTTCCTTAAAGTCATCTCTTCGGGGAATCCTCTCGTTCGTTACAGTCACCTCTTCGGGAATCCTCTCGTTCGTTACAGGGGTATCCTCTCGTTCCTTACAGTCATCTCTTCGGGGTATCCTCTCGTTCCTTAAAGTCATCTCTTCGGGGTATCCTCTCGTTCCTTACAGGGGTATCCTCTCGTTCCTTACAGTCATCTCTTCGGGGTATCCTCTCGTTCCTTAAAGTCATCTCTTCGGGGTATCCTCTCGTTCCTTAAAGTCATCTCTTCGGGGTATCCTCTCGTTCCTTACAGTCATCTCTTCGGGGTTCCTTAAAGTCATCTCTTTGGGGTTCCTTAAAGTCATCTCTTCGGGGTTCCTTACAGTCATCTCTTCGGGGTATCCTCTCGTTCCTTACAGGCATCTCTTCGGGGTTCTTTAAAGTCATCTCTTCGGGGTTCCTTACAGTCACCTCTTCGGGGAATCCTCTCGTTCCTTAAAGTCATCTCTTCGGGGAATCCTCTCGTTCGTTACAGGGGTATCCTCTCGTTCCTTACAGTCATCTCTTCGGGGTATCCTCTCGTTCCTTAAAGTCATCTCTTCGGGGTATCCTCTCGTTCCTTACAGTCATCTCTTCGGGGTTCCTTAAAGTCATCTCTTCTGGGTATCCTCTTGTTCGTTTCAGTCACCTCTTTGGGGTATCCTCTCCTTCCTTACAGTCATCTCTTCGGGGTATCCTCTCGTTCCTTAAAGTCATCTCTTCGGGGTATCCTCTCGTTCCTTACAGTCATCTCTTCGGGGTTCCTTAAAGTCATCTCTTCTGGGTATCCTCTTGTTCGTTTCAGTCACCTCTTTGGGGTATCCTCTCCTTCCTTACAGTCATCTCTTCGGGGTATCCTCTCGTTCCTTACAGGGGTATCCTCTCGTTCCTTACAGTCATCTCTTTGGGGAATCCTCTCGTTCCTTAAAGTCACCTCTTCGGGGAATCCTCTTGTTCCTTAAAGTCACCTCTTCGGGGAATCCTCCCGTTCGTTTCAGTCACCTCTTCGGGGAATCCTCCCGTTCGTTTCAGTCACCTCTTCGGGGTATCCTCTCGTTCCTTACTGTCATCTCTTCGGGGTTCCTTAAAGTCACCTCTTCGGGGAATCCTCTTGTTCCTTAAAGTCACCTCTTCGGGGAATCCTCCCGTTCGTTTCAGTCACCTCTTCGGGGTATCCTCCCATTTGTTTCAGTCATCTCTTCGGGGTATCCTCTCGTTCCTTACTGTCATCTCTTCGGGGTTCCTTAAAGTCATCTCTTCGGGGTATCCTCTCGTTCCTTACAGTCATCTCTTCGGGGTTCCTTAAAGTCATCTCTTCGGGGTATCCTCTCCTTCCTTAAAGTCACCTCTTCGGGGAATCCTCCCGTTCTTTTCAGTCACCTCTTCGGGGTATCCTCTCGTTCCTTACAGTCATCTCTTCGGGGTTCCTTAAAGTCATCTCTTCGGGGTATCCTCTCCTTCCTTAAAGTCACCTCTTCGGGGAATCCTCCCGTTCGTTTCAGTCACCTCTTCGGGGTATCCTCTCGTTCCTTAAAGTCATCTCTTCGGGGTATCCTCTCGTTCCTTAAAGTCATCTCTTCGGGGTATCCTCTCGTTCCTTACAGTCATCTCTTCGGGGAATCCTCTCGTTCCTTACAGTCATCTCTTCGGGGTTCCTTAAAGTCATCTCTTCGGGGAATCCTCTCGTTCCTTACAGTCATCTCTTCGGGGTTCCTTAAAGTCATCTCTTCGGGGTATCCTCTCGTTCCTTAAAGTCATCTCTTCGGGGTATCCTCTCGTTCCTTACAGTCATCTCTTCGGGGAATCCTCTCGTTCGTTACAGTCATCTCTTCGGGGTATCCTCTCGTTCGTTACAGTCATCTCTTCGGGGTTCCTTAAAGTCATCTCTTCGGGGTATCCTCTCGTTCCTTAAAGTCATCTCTTCAGGGTATCCTCTCGTTCCTTACAGTCATCTCTTCGGGGTTCCTTAAAGTCATCTCTTCGGGGTATCCTCTCGTTCCTTAAAGTCATCTCTTCGGGGAATCCTCTCGTTCCTTAAAGTCATCTCTTCGGGGAATCCTCTCGTTCGTTACAGTCATCTCTTCGGGGAATCCTCTCGTTCCTTAAAGTCATCTCTTCGGGGAATCCTCTCGTTCGTTACAGTCACCTCTTCGGGGTATCCTGCCGTTTGTTACAGTCATCTCTTCGGGGTATCCTGCTGTTTGTTTCAGTCATCTCTTCGGGGTATCCTCTCGTTCCTTACAGTCATCTCTTCAGGGTATCCTCTCGTTCGTTACAGTCATCTCTTCGGGGTATCCTGCCGTTTGTTACAGTCATCTCTTCGGGGTATCCTGCTGTTTGTTTCAGTCATCTCTTCGGGTATCCTCTCGTTCGTTACAGTCATCTCTTCAGGGTATCCTCTCGTTCGTTACAGTCATCTCTTCAGGGTATCCTCTCGTTCCTTACAGTCATCTCTTCGGGGTTCCTTAAAGTCATCTCTTCGGGGAATCCTCTCGTTCGTTACAGTCATCTCTTCGGGGTATCCTCTCGTTCCTTACAGTCATCTCTTCGGGGTATCCTCTCGTTCGTTACAGTCATCTCTTCGGGGTGTCCTCTCGTTCGTTACAGTCATCTCTTCGGGGATTCCTCTCGTTCGTTACAGTCATCTCTTCGGGGTGTCCTCTCGTTCGTTACAGTCATCTCTTCGGGGTGTCCTCTCGTTCGTTACAGTCATCTCTTCGGGGAATCCTCTCGTTCGTTACAGTCATCTCTTCGGGGAATCCTCTCGTTCGTTACAGTCATCTCTTCGGGATTCCTCTCGTTCGTTACAGTCATCTCTTCGGGGAATCCTCTCGTTCGTTACAGTCATCTCTTCGGGGTATCCTGCCGTTTGTTTCAGTCATCTCTTCGGGGAATCCTCTCGTTCGTTACAGTCATCTCTTCGGGGTGTCCTCTCGTTCGTTACAGTCATCTCTTCGGGGAATCCTCTCGTTCGTTACAGTCATCTCTTCGGGGAATCCTCTCGTTCGTTACAGTCATCTCTTCGGGGATTCCTCTCGTTCGTTACAGTCATCTCTTCGGGGAATCCTCTCGTTCGTTACAGTCATCTCTTCGGGGTATCCTGCCGTTTGTTTCAGTCATCTCTTCGGGGAATCCTCTCGTTCGTTACAGTCATCTCTTCGGGGAATCCTCTCGTTCGTTACAGTCATCTCTTCGGGGTATCCTCTCGTTCGTTACAGTCATCTCTTCGGGGATTCCTCTCGTTCGTTACAGTCATCTCTTCGGGGAATCCTCTCGTTCGTTACAGTCATCTCTTCGGGGAATCCTCTCGTTCGTTACAGTCATCTCTTCGGGGAATCCTCTCGTTCGTTACAGTCATCTCTTCGGGGAATCCTCTCGTTCGTTACAGTCATCTCTTCGGGGTATCCTGCCGTTTGTTTCAGTCATCTCTTCGGGGAATCCTCTCGTTCGTTACAGTCATCTCTTCGGGGGAATCCTCTCGTTCGTTACAGTCATCTCTTCGGGGAATCCTCTCATTTGTTGAAGTTAGGTTAATTGGTTTCAAGACATCACTTCACAAACCTTTACACAACTTAACGTGCTTTATTTCTGTGTTGAACATCAGGTGATCCAGATGTGTTGTTATGGCGTCAGTTCCACTTCCTGCCACCAGCGGGAGACAGAGCGCTTCCACTTCAGCCTTCCAGTCTCCATGGAAACACAGAGTGACGACTGGGACTCACCTGTCCAGGTAAGAGTTAGTGAGGCACAGGTATGGGGATTACATTGGTTTCTATTTGTTCTAAAGATAGAAACTTTTCTCTCCAGGTGGTTTTACAGCGAGGACCAACACTCAGTAACACACCTGTCCAGGTGAGCCAGATGGAGGAGCAGGACCTCAGCCGCCTGATGGACGTTCAGGTGGACCTGGATGACCAGGTGTACTCGCACCAGCTCGACTCTGCCCTCCACAGTGAGCGGCGTACTGGTAACGGGGCCCGGAAGGACGAGGGCTTCTGGACTCTGCCGATAGAGGAGGTCCTGCCGGCCCCAGCATATATCCCAGAGTCCTTCAGGGGGAAGACTTGGGCCCAGATCGAACAGGAGGACGAGGAGAAGGTGGACAAATTGGTCCGACAATTCAGACAGGAGAGATTTATCTGCTACTTCGACACAGAGTCTCTGGCCAGGTAATACACACTCACCTGTACTGCGATATACATAGTCACTCACCTGTACTGCGATATACACAGTCACTCACCTGTACTGCGATATACACAGTCACTCACCTGTACTGCGATATGTACGCTCACCTGTACTGCGATATGTAAACTCACCTGTGCTGTGAAATATACATTCACCTGTACTGTGATATGTAAACTCACCTCTACTGTGAAATATACATTCACCTGTACTGTGAAATATACATTCACCTGTACTGTGAAATATACATTCACCTGTACTGTGAAATATACATTCACCTGTACTGTGATATGTAAACTCACCTCTACTGTGAAATATACATTCACCTGTACTGTGAAATATACATTCACCTGTACTGTGATATGTAAACTCACCTCTACTGTGAAATATACATTCACCTGTACTGTGAAATATACATTCACCTGTACTGTGATATGTAAACTCACCTCTACTGTGAAATATACATTCACCTGTACTGTGTAGTGAACAACGATGTGGATTTGTGCATTTTATATTGAATGAATGTGGAGCCACCCTAAATTCCTTTCTCCTCCCCAGAGAAGATGGGGAGGGGTCAAAGTTGCTTTCTCTAAGTGCTATCCCGACCAGAAAACTGGCACCTTTTGATTCCGAAGCTGATAACGCGGGGCCTGACTGTTAAACTGACAAAGGGACACGAGCCAGCCATTGGCATCTCCCTGAACAGCCTATCAAAACTTACCCCACCACACACGTTTCCGTGGAAACTGACCTTATTCTTTGTTTTATTACCACATCAAAAGGATACTCCTTGTCTCACCCAAGTGTGACATGTTCCAGACACTGAACTTTAGATGACAAAGGACTGCATTCTCCAAAATACTCAAAGCATTTAATTAAGTTAATTAAATCTTTAGTTACCTGAATATGTTGGCCTCTATTTGAGCAGTTATGTTAACTGTTGTTGCTATCTGTTGTTGATATTAGTGCTGAAAAGAAGTTACTTGTGCAGGGTTTTTATTTTCAGCAAGACACTCCTTCATCTAATGTAATCAATGCTTGTTCATAATACTTTCTTACAAAATCCCTTTAGAAATGATGACAAAGAAATGTTTTACTATACTCTTAATCGCCAGCTTGAATTTAAGGATGAATCAACAATATTCCCCGGTTCCTAAGGAGAGACGATCTTTGATTTAATCCAAGCTTTCCTCATGTAACCTGAGCTCCCCCAAGTGGACGAAATAAGTATTACATGCCCTCGTCGGAAATGCGGTTAAATGTATAAAAATCCTGACCAATAATGTGACAATTTACCAAATGCTTAGAACATTACAACCGTTCAACCATTGAGGTTCGATTGTGGAAAATATTTGATTATAATACGTGCAAATAGATTTCTTTTCTTTAGACATTAAGTTTAGAAAGGCAGTTCCTTGGGAAACCTGAGACGCCCCCTGGGGAACCACGGCCCAGGCAACAAAAGAGCGACATGCGACCTGCTCGCCAGTCTCTTCCCTCTTCTCGCTCTTCCACTCTGCCCTCTGGACGCTTCGGCACGCGCGTGGCGTGCCTCACCAGGCAACACGCCCAGACTCAGCCAGTGAAACAAACAGGCCTTTGTTCGCCTGAAGCTACACACCTGAAGTGCCGAGACATCGATCTGCCTTCAGTTTGTTTTATTTTCTTTATTTCTTTTGTTTGTTAAAGTTATCAGTCCGTTAAGTTACACTGGACTAATTCAGGAACGACCAAGTTCCATTTTAAGCCTTTTTCGTCAAGCCAACTTCACCGAGGTCAGACCAAGCCACGTGGTCTCGCCAGCTACAACCAAGGAAACCTGAAAACAGCCGAATTGCCAGACGGAGGAGGCGTTTTCAATCGGACACGGAGAACCCCGGGGAATCCCTAGCAAAAAGCCAGGATCGGCAGCTAGAGTGGGACCCGTGCAACAGGCCAAAAGCAGGCTGTCGACAAGCAGTAAGACTTAACACACGACCTGTGATCAGACGTCCATTTTAACTCCTAAACTATAGCATTAGTTTACTTTCAGTAGCTCTTCTATGCCGTATGAGTCAAATGCTTCCCACAATCGAACCTCCAGGCTCATTGTTCAGCAAATGTTTATGTTCCCTGTATCCAACCATCTTTTTATCACCTTAGTTAGAGAATAAATTCACTGTAATATAATCAAGAGCTGTGTGTGTTGCCTATTTATAGTTCCTGCCAAGAGAATTGACCCTTTAGATATGAGACTGACTGACTGATTTAAGATAATTGAGCGATTATTAACTAACTGATCACTAGTAATAATTGTATAATTATTCAAAACTACCTAGAGGTCCGGAGACTCTAGGATTATAACAACTCCGGTGGTGCCCTTAACGAGGAAATTCTGATTTTATGAATAATAATTCATAATTGGGTATCAATTCTCATAAATTTATTAAAATGCATAACTAATAAATTTAGGTCCACTACAACTGTGATATGTAAACTCACCTGTACTGTGATATGTAAACTCACCTGTACTGTGAAATATACATTCACCTGTACTGTGATATGTAAACTCACCTGTACTGTGATATGTAAACTCACCTGTACTGCGATATGTAAACTCACCTGTACTGCGATATGTAAACTCACCTGTACTGTGATATGTAAACTCACCTGTACTGTGATATGTACACTCACCTGTACTGTGAAATATACATTCACCTGTACTGTGATATGTAAACTCACCTGTACTGTGATATGTAAACTCACCTGTACTGTGAAATATACATTCACCTGTACTGTGATATGTAAACTCACCTGTACTGTGATATGTAAACTCACCTGTACTGTGATATGTACATTCACCTGTACTGTGAAATATACATTCACCTGTACTGTGAAATATACATTCACCTGTACTGTGATATGTACATTCACCTGTACTGTGATATGTAAACTCACCTGTACTGTGAAATATACATTCACCTGTACTGTGATATGTAAACTCACCTGTACTGTGAAATATACATTCACCTGTACTGTGATATGTAAACTCACCTGTACTGTGAAATATACATTCACCTGTACTGTGATATGTAAACTCACCTGTACTGTGAAATATACATTCACCTGTACTGTGATATGTAAACTCACCTGTACTGTGAAATATACATTCAACTGTACTGTGATATGTAAACTCACCTGTACTGTGATATGTACATTCACCTGTACTGTGAAATATACATTCACCTGTACTGTGATATGTAAACTCACCTGTACTGTGATATGTAAACTCACCTGTACTGTGATATGTAAACTCACCTGTACTGTGAAATATACATTCACCTGTACTGTGATATGTAAACTCACCTGTACTGTGATATGTAAACTCACCTGTACTGTGAAATATACATTCACCTGTACTGTGATATGTAAACTCACCTGTACTGTGAAATATACATTCACCTGTACTGTGATATGTAAACTCACCTGTACTGTGAAATATACATTCAACTGTACTGTGATATGTAAACTCACCTGTACTGTGAAATATACATTCACCTGTACTGTGATATGTACATTCACCTGTACTGTGAAATATACATTCACCTGTACTGTGATATGTAAACTCACCTGTACTGTGAAATATACATTCACCTGTACTGTGATATGTAAACTCACCTGTACTGTGAAATATACATTCACCTGTACTGTGATATGTAAACTCACCTGTACTGTGATATGTAAACTCACCTGTACTGTGATATGTAAACTCACCTGTACTGTGAAATATACATTCACCTGTACTGTGATATGTAAACTCACCTGTACTGTGAAATATACATTCACCTGTACTGTGATATGTAAACTCACCTGTACTGTGATATGTAAACTCACCTGTACTGTGATATGTAAACTCACCTGTACTGTGAAATATACATTCACCTGTACTGTGAAATATACATTCACCTGTACTGTGATATGTAAACTCACCTGTACTGTGATATGTAAACTCACCTGTACTGTGATATGTAAACTCACCTGTACTGTGATATGTAAACTCACCTGTACTGTGATATGTATTCACATATAAAATCACAATTTGCTGAGCTGTAGTTTTTCTGCTGATGTCATCGCTGTCAGGTATGGTAGGAGGAGCCACAGCAAGAAGGGGCGTAGTGATAACAAGGAGGCGGGGACAGACCCTGGCGTCCTGCCTTTATTGGACCGTGATGAAGATGACTCAGCGTACATCAGGAGGAAGAGAAAGAGGCGGGCCTTCAGGGTGGCGTCCAGGTGTCAGGTGAGAACGTCAGTTTTCAGTATCTGGAGTTTGAAGGAAAACATCTTCGTCAACTGGTTTTGTCTCCTCAGGTGGTGAAAGTCAGTCACAGCACTCAGACAGTCCAATTGGTCGTCCCAGCTGTCCGTCAACCAACTTCTGAGGCCCCGCCAACCAACACACCGTCAGCCAATCAGGAAGCAGCAGAGAGGACTCCTGATGTCCAGACGTGGCGCTGCCTCCCTTCGTCATATTCAAACATTATCACGCCGCTGCAGCCTCGCACCTCTGTAGTGTACCTGCTCTGCTCCCCCTCAAGCCCCACCTCCACCTACACACCTCTGTCAGGCTCCGCCCCTAAACGCTGCAGGAAAAAGAGGCGTCCGCTGGACCTGCAGGGGTTAAAGGTCAAATACAAACGGCTTCCTGTCAGGTTCTACGACCCCGGCAGCAACCGCATCCTGAAGAACCCCCCAAAGGGCTTCCTGTGGCGCAGAGGCTCCGCCCCCTCCGGCCCACCGCCGCCATGCGTCCGTCAGCTGTTCAGAAGTCTGAGTCCGGACCTGAACACCGACAGGCCGCCAGGGGAGGTGGCTGCAGGGTCCTCCAGGGTCAAAGGTCAGAGGTCATCAGACACCGCCTTCAGCCACGTCAACAGCTTACTTCTGGGCACGCTCAGTGAGGACTCAGCACAGACTGACAAACAGGAAACAGTCAGAGGGCAGGGCAGGATGTCTCAAGCCCCGCCCCCTCAGAGCAGGTCAGAGCGGGGGAGGGGGGGTAGGAGGGATAGGACACAACCTCCATTCCCCAAGAGAAGGACCAGGGCTCAGGCCACGCCCCCCCAGCCCAGGAGAGAAGGCCTGCGACGGGCAGGACTCAGCAGGAAAGTCCCTGGCTCTCCAGGCCCGCCTCACCCTCCTGCACCCCGCCGGGGGAAAGCCAGGAGGGGGCGGGGCTGCGAGAGGGGGCGAAGGTAGCAGGACTCCTGGACAGGTAGCAGGACGCCTGGACAGGTTGCAGGACGCCTGGACAGGTAGAAGGACACCTGGACAGGTAGCAGGACTCCTGGACAGGTAGAAGGACTCCTGGACAGGTAGAAGGACTCCTGGACAGGTAGCAGGACTCCTGGACAGGTAGAAGGACACCTGGACAGGTAGCAGGACTCCTGGACAGGTAGAAGGACACCTGGACAGGTAGCAGGACTCCTGGACAGGTAGAAGGACACCTGGACAGGTAGCAGGACTCCTGGACAGGTAGAAGCACACCTGGACAGGTAGCAGCCTCATTTATGAACTTTATGAAGAGACACTTGTCAGTACAGAAATCAGGAAGTTGAACATCAGCATTAGCTCGTTAACCTGATGGATCTGAATAAAGACTAATCAGTTTAATTGATGAGTAACGAGGTTTATAAACGAGGCTGCTGGACGTCCTGTGGAAGTCAGCTGATGTCAATGTTAAAATGAAATCTGATCGTTCTGAAAGTCATTTGACGTTTGTGTGCAGATACAGTTTGATCAATCTTCTTTCCTGGTGCATAAAAACATTTGGTCAATAACTACAGATTTTCAAACAAACAGGGTTTTATTTTCAGTTTTTCATCCATGATGGAAATAAAACTCATTGCAGGACTGAAGCTTTTATTTTAGTCAGAAATCATGAAAATATAAATCATTAAATGTTTGTCCTGCAGCATGAAAAGAAAAACATTTTGTTACACATGAAATCTCATCTCATTGAAATAAAACGTGAACTCGAAATTTTAATTTGGTATGAAAATGAAAATGTAGTTAAGAATCATGCTAATTAAACAACGTGTGCACACAAATGGAAGCTGAAAGTTGGAACTGATGTGATTTTATTCTAATGTTGGCGTCTTTCTAAACACTAAACACACCTGCAGCTTGTGTCCGACAGGTGAGGTGCTGTTTCTTCAGGTACTGGTGTTGATATGTCGCGTTGTTGGTGTCACAACGTTTTATAACTTTAAATATTGATACGTTGAATAAACAACTTTTATAACCTGAGTCACCTAGTCATGTGTTTGTTCTCACAGCGTCCACCAGGTGGTGTATTGAGTCTCCCACCTGGCCCGCAGCCTCCAGAAGCTCCGCCCTCTTCCTCTCACCTGGACACAGAAATGGAAATGTGATTATTTTATGGAGTCAGCCTCGGACCTGAGATTTACTAATACGTGATCACAGGGGGGCCCCAAGGCTCAGTGCTTGGGCCCCTTCTCTTCTCAATTTACACCACCTCACCGGGGCCGATCATTCGCTCGCACGGCTTCTCTTACCACTGCTACGCGGACGATACGCAACTCTACCTATCCTTCCTGCCAGACGATCCCACTGTCTCGGCGCGGATCACGGACTGTCTATCGGACATATCTGTATGGATGAAGGCTCGCCACCTTCAACTAAACCTCTCTAACTACAAATTGACTCCGCAACCATCACTCCAACCAGGGTGGTGAGAAACTTGGGTGTCATGATTGATGACCATCTGTCCTTTTCAGACCATGTTGCTGCTGTCTCTCGGTCGTGCCGCTTTGCTCTGTACAACATCAGGAAAATCAGGCCCTACCTCACTCAGTACGCCACCCAGCTTCTGGTCCAGGCCATGGTTACCTCTCTGCCCACCTAGTGGGTCTACCAGCTCACCGGTGAAATCCCTACAAGTGGTCCAGAACGCAGCAGCTCTAACCTCTAACATGCACTTCCTGTGCTCTTCTTCTGTGTCCTTACAATTATCTTTTATTGATTGACCTATTTCATTAACCCTAGGTATTTACCCGATTGATGCAGTACATGCTATTAGCTCTCAGCAGTATTTATTGCTGCTCTTGCCAGTATGTATTGTCAGTTCTTGTGCTGTATTTGATGCCTCGTTGATGCTTGGATGTTGTTCCTCAAATGTTAGTCGCTTTGGATAAAAGCGTCTGCCAAATGAGTAAATGTAAACTGGATCAATACGAGCCTATAGTTTGGTTTCACCTTAGTGACTCACCTGTCTGTCTCTCTCTCCACCTGTCTGTCTCCATCACAAGTTTCAGTCTCTCAACAGTCTCCTGCAGCAGCTCCTCTGGACTACACGTCCCATAATGCTTCTCTTCTTCTTCAGACAGACAGGTGTTCTCTTCCTGTGGCTCTGCCTCCTCTGGTTCATCCTGTTTTCCTACTGGATGACGGAGAAACCTGTCACCTGCAGCGTCCTCCTCTTCACAGTGGGTGTCATATGACACAGGTGTGTCCAGATGCATTGTGGGAGATGGAGTTTTTTCTTTGTCCTCACTCCACTCATCCTCTGTCTTCAGCAGCACTTCTTCCTCCTCGTCTTCCTCTACGCTTTGTGGCGCGTTGTTGGCGTGTTGTTGAGCCTCCATCTGTGTTAGAAAAGAACTGGTCAAAGAAGAGAAGTCAACTACAACTCCCATGGTGCATTTCACCAACAGCCAGCCAGTCAGAGCTTTATTTTCACTGAAGCTGAAACCTGAACATTCATCAGCACTTCTTCTTCCTCCTCGTCTGTGTTTGTCTCCGAGTCGACGCCTCGTGGCGTGTTGTTGGCGTGTTGTTGAGCCTCCATCCTGTTCAGAGCCTGGTCAAAGGAGAGAAGTCAACTCCTATGGTGCATTTCACAAACAAGCAGCTTCAAATTGACTGCAGCTGAAACCTGAACATGCAGCAGTTTAACTACACCCGTGGACAGATACACGGGGTTTACCTGTGTGAGCACGCCCTGCAGACTCAGGTTGTGCTCTCTCAGCTTGTCCATGGTGACCTCCATCTCAGAGCATCTGTCCTCCAGGATGCCCTGCTCTGATTGGACGGCGAGCCGCCACGCCTGCAGCTGCTCCTCCAGCAGCCTGAACATCAACAAAGAAGAAGACTGTGAGCTGTCGCTGCAGACCGGCCTGTGATTGGTTCGTTCTGGTTTCTCACCATTTGTCCCTTTGCAGGTTTCTGACTTCTGTGAGCAGATCTGCCGCCTTCCAGTGGTCGATAACAACAACACGTTAATGTCATGCTGTATTATAAACAAGCACAATATACTAACATAAATATAACATATTACATGTAAAATATAACATGTTAAACTAATATAAAATATTACATATTAGACTAATATGAAATATTACATGTAAGACTAATATAAATTATTACATGTTAAACTAATACAAAATATAACATGTTAGACTAATACAAAATATAACGTTAGACTAATACAAAATATTACGTTAGACTAATACAAAATATAACATGTTAGACCAATACAAAATATTACGTTAGACTAATACAAAATATACGTTAGACTAATATAAATATAACATGTTAGACTAATACAAAATATAACATGTTAGACCAATACAAAATATTACATGTTAGACTAATATAAAATATTACATGTTAGACTAATATAAATTATTACATGTTAAACTAATACAAAATATAACATGTTAGACTAATACAAAATATAACATGTTAGACTAATACAAAATATTACGTTAGACTAATACAAAATATAACATGTTAGACTAATACAAAATATAACATGTTAGACCAATACAAATATTACGTTAGACTAATACAAAATATTACGTTAGACTAATATAAAATATAACATGTTAGACTAATACAAAATATTACATGTTAGACTAATATAAAATATAACATGTTAGACTAATATAAAATATAACATGTTAGACTAATACAAAATATTACATGTTAGACTAATAAAATATTACATGTTAGACTAATAAAATATTACATGTTAGACTAATACAAAATATTACATGTTAGACTAATACAAAATATAACATGTTAGACTAAAACAATATATTACATGTTAGACTAATACAAAATATAACATGTTAGACTAATATAAAATATTACATGTTAGACTAATACAAAATATTACATGTTAGACTAATACAAAATATAACATGTTAGACTAATACAAAATATAAAATGTTAGACTAATATAAAATATTACATGTTAAACTAATACAAAATATTACATGTTAGACTAATACAAAATATAACATGTTAGACTAATATAAAATATTACATGTTAACTAATACAAAATATTACATGTTAGACTAATACAAAATATAACATGTTAGACTAATATAAATATTACATGTTAAACTAATACAAATATAACATGTTAGACTAATATAAAATATTACATGTTAAACTAATACAAAATATAACATGTTAGACTAATACAAAATATTACATGTTAAACTAATACAAAATATTACATGTTAGACTAATACAAATATTACGTTAGACTAATATAAATATAACATGTTAGACTAATACAAATATTACATGTTAGACTAATACAAAATATAACATGTTAGACTAATACAAAATATTACATGTTAGACTAATATAAAATATAACATGTTAGACTAATACAAAATATAACATGTTAGACTAATACAAAATATTACATGTTAAACTAATACAAAATATAAAATGTTAGACTAATACAAAATATAACATGTTAGACTAATATAAAATATTACATGTTAAACTAATACAAAATATAACGTTAGACTAATATAAAATATATTATATATTTATATATTATATAATAATATTTGAAACTGCTGGCTAAGGATAAACGTAAATACAGTAAGATTGTTATTCACGTCGGCGGTAATGACTCCCGGTTACGCCAATCGGAGGTCACTAAGATTAATGTTGAGTCGGTGTGTACATATGCAAAAACAATGTCGGACACCGTAGTTTTCTCTGGACCCCTGCCAAATCTGACCAGTGATGACATGTATAGCCGCATGTCGTCATTCCGCCGCTGGTTGTCGAGGTGGTGTCCAGCAAACGATGTGGGCTTTGTTGATCATTGGCAGACTTTCTGGGGAAGACCTGGTCTGATCCGGAGAGACGGCATCCATCCCACTTGGGAAGGAGCAGCTCTCATTTCTAGAAATCTGGCCAAGTTTATTAGTGGACCAAATCCATGACAACCCAGAGTTGAGACCAGGAGGCAGAGTCGCAGTCTAACACACTTCTCTGCCCTTCTTTTCAGCAGTTACCCACCCAAAACCCTACGCAGAGTCGCAGTCTAACACACTTCTCTGCTCCTCCATTTCAGGAGTTACTTAGTGAAAATCCTATAGTGACGGTGTCTGCCCCCCACCATCGAAATTATTTAAAAAGGTAAACAGAAGAGGAGCTGTGCATAAAAACCTCATAAAAATTAAAACCACAAGAGCAATAGTGCAAACGAATAGGAGAGTTAAATGTGGACTCTTAAACATCAGATCTCTCTCTTCTAAAGGTGTACTAGTAAATGAACTAATATCAGATTATGATATTGATTTATTTGGTATTACTGAAACCTGGCTGGGTGATGGAGAATATGTTAGCCTAAATGAATCCACCCCTCCCAGTCATATTAATACTCACATTCCTCGAGGCACAGGCCGAGGAGGTGGAGTTGCAGCTATCTTCGACTCTAGCCTACTAATCAGCTCTAAACCTAAACTAAACTATAACTCATTTGAAAGTCTTGTTCTTAGTCTTTCGCACCCAAGTTGGAAATCACTGCAACCAATTCTCTTCGTTATAGTGTACCGAGCACCTGGCCCGTACTCTGAATTCTTATCTGAATTTGCAGAGTTTTTGTCAACTTTAGTCCTTAAAATGGACAAAGTTATTATTGTAGGGGATTTTAATATTCATGTGGACGTTGAGAATGACAGCTTTAGTACTGCGTTTATCTCTTTGTTAGATTCCATCGGCTTCTCTCAGAGTGTTCATGAACCGACTCACTGTTTTAACCACACCCTCGACCTTGTTCTGGTGTATGGTATTGAAATTGAACATTTAGTGGTGTTCCCACAGAATCCCTCTTTATCCGACCACTGTTTGATAACTTTTGAGTTTGTATTGCTGAACTACTCGCCATTGAGCAAAAATTTCTATACAAGATGTCTGTCTGATAGTGCTATAGCTAAATTTAAGGATGCGATTCCATCAGCTCTAAATACATTATCTAGTCACAAAGTAACGGAGGACTCCTATGCTAATTTCAGTCCCTCCCAAATCGATCATCTTGTTAATAGTGCTGCAGGCTCGCTGCGAATGACACTGGACTCTGTAGCCCCTCTAAAAAAGAAAATACTAAAACAAAGACGGTTAGCTCCATGGTATAATACTGAAACTCGCAAATTAAAGCAAATATCGCAGAAACTTGAGAGGAATTGGCGTTCCACCAAAGTGGAAAATTCTCGTTTAATCTGGCAAGATAGTCTTAAAACTTATAGGAAGGCCCTCCGTAATGCCAGAGCAGCGTACTACTCGTCATTAATAGAGGAAAATAGGAACAACCCCAGGTTTCTTTTCAGCACTGTAGCCAGGCTGACAGAGAGTCACAGCTCTATTGAGCCAAGTATTCCCATAGCTCTCAGTAGTTACGACTTCATGAGCTTCTTTAATGATAAAATTCTAGCTATTAGAGACAAAATTCATCAAGACCTGCCCTCAACTGGCACTGACTTATCTCTTAACTCAGGAACCTTAGAAACAGCTGTAGAACCAGATACATGTTTAGACTGTTTTGCTTCACTCAATCTTTACCAACTAACTTCAATAATTTCTTCATCTAAACCATCAACCTGCCTCTTAGACCCCATCCCGACTAGGCTGCTTAAAGATGTTTTACCGTTAGTCAGCACCTCTATACTAGATATGATCAATCTATCTTTATCAACAGGCTATGTACCACAGTACTTTAAAGTAGCTGTAATTAAACCTCTTCTGAAAAAGCCCAAACTTGATCCGGATGTTTTAGCAAACTATAGACCTATATCTAACCTTCCATTTCTCTCTAAGGTTCTGGAGAAAGCAGTTGCTAAACAGCTGTGTGACTTTCTACAGAGCAATAGTTTATTTGAGGATTTTCAGTCAGGATTTAGAGCTCATCATAGCACAGAGACAGCACTGGTGAAAATTACTAACGACCTCCTTATTGCATCAGACAAAGGACTTGTCTCTGTACTGGTTTTATTAGATCTTAGTGCTGCATTTGATACCATTGACCATCAGATCCTATTGCAGAGAGTGGAATATTTCATTGGCATTAAAGGAACCGCTCTAAGCTGGTTTAAGTCCTATTTATCAGATCGATTTCAGTTTGTACATGTTAACGATGAGTCCTCCTTGCACGCCAAAGTTAGTCCACAAGGATCTGTCCTCGGACCAATCTTCTTCACTTTATATATGCTTCCTTTAGGCAATATTATCAGGAAATATTCCATAAGCTTTCATTGTTATGCAGATGATACTCAGTTATATCTATCGATCAAGCCAGATGAAACTCATCAGTTAGCTAAAATTCAAATGTCCCTTCAGGATGTTGATGGCATCGCCCTGGCCTCCAGCACCACTGTGAGGAATCTTGGAGTTATCTTTGATCAGGACATGTCGTTTAAGTCTTACATTAGGCAAATTTCAAGGACCGCCTTTTTTCACCTACGTAATATTGCGAAAATCAGGAACATCCTATCTGAAAATGATGCAGAAAAACTAGTCCATGCATTTGTTACTTCTAGGCTGGATTACTGCAATTCCTTATTATCAGGCTGCTCAAAAAAGTCCATTAAGACTCTTCAGCTGATCCAGAATGCTGCAGCACGTGTTCTGACAGGAACCAGGAAAAGAGATCATATTTCTCCTGTCTTAGCTTCTCTACATTGGCTTCCAGTAAAATCCAGAATATAATTTAAAATCATTCTTCTTACCTACAAAGCTCTTAATGGTCAGGCACCATCTTATCTTAAAGAGCTCATAGTACCTTACTACCCCACCAGAGCACTGCGCTCCCAGAATGCAGGGTTACTTGTGGTTCCTAGAGTCTCCAAAAGTAGACTAGGAGCCAGAGCGTTCAGCTATCAAGCTCCTCTCCTGTGGAACCAGGTTCCAGTTTGGGTTCAGGAGGCAGACACCATCTCCACATTTAAGAGTAGGCTTAAGACTTTCCTCTTTGATAAAGCTTATAGTTAGGGCTGGCTCAGGTGAGTCCTGAACCATCCCTTAGTTATGCTGCTACAGGCCTAGACTGCCGGGGGATTTCCCATGATGCACTGAGCTCCTCTCTCCTCTACTTTCTCTCCCTCTGTATGCAACCTCATCCCATTATTGCATGTTACTAACACAACTTCTCCCCTTTCTGGTAGTCTTGTGCTTTCTCGTCCCTCTCCTCTCTCCTCCTATCACTTCCTGCAGGTGTTTCTGGCTCTGGAGCTGTGGAGTCTGGATCTGTGGCTCGAGGTTTCTGCCTCTTAAAGGAAGTTTTTCCTTGCCTCTGTCTCCTAGTGCTGCTCTTGGTGGGAACTGTTGGGCTTCTGTAAATAGCATCATAGAGTACGCTCTAGACCTGCTCTTTATGAAAAGTGCTGTGAGATAACTGTTGTTGTGATTTGGCGCTATATAAATAAAATTGAATGTAATTGAATTAAAATATTACATGTCCAGGAAAGTTGGGATATTTTCCAAAATGCAATAAAAACTCAAATCTGATTCGTTTGTTCACATGAAACTTTATTTGACTGACAAAAGTCCAAAGAAAAGATTCTCAGTGGTTTTACTGAGCAGTGTGATTATATTTAGAAAATATAAACAAAATTAGATGTCCATACTGCAAGAAGTTGGACAGCGGCGTGTTTTGTGTTCATCACCTTTAATAACACTGTCTGATGGTTTGGGAAGTGAAGCCACGAACTGAGCCAGATTTACAGTTGAAGGTTTGTCCTTTCTTCTTGATACAGAACTTGAGCTGCTCGACAGTCTGTGGTCGCCGCTGTCTGATTCCCCTCTTCATGATGCTCCATACGTTTTGAACAGGAGACAGATCTTGACCGGCATCAGAACATCCCTCTGGTCCACCTGAGCACATATGTTTGTCACAGAAGCATGACGGTGTCTTAGGCAGTTCCTCCTGAGGGCTGGAAGGTCACGTACATTCAGCACCGAGAGGTCTCTTCACAATGCGCTGCTGACTTTGAGGGACCCGAAGTCTCTGCAGTCTTGTGTTGAGAAATGTTCTCTTTGATCCATGAGTTCTGGATCAAAGCGGTGAGCCAGGACCTCCTGACCTGCAGAGACTGAGCCGCTGGATGAGCCCTCACCTGTTCCCAGCTTCTGGTGCAGTCTCCACAGGTGGTCCTGAATGTTCTGGACACGTTTCAGTCTGAGGTTAACTCTGTCCTAACTTTGTACTAAATCTAATCACGCTGTTGGGAAGCTTTTCTCTGGACTTCACATGAATTAATAAAACACTGATTTGATTGCATTTCGGAAATCAGCCCAACTTTGCTGGACACATATAGATCATAGGTTACATATAGAACATTCAGGGGTCATCAGAGGTCACCTGGTGAGTCGGCGTCTCCTCGTCAGTCTGCAGAGCTTTGGATGAAAATGAGCGGCGAGGAGGTTGCACCAGGGCATCATGGGAAACGTCTCTGTCAGAGGAGGGACTGTGACAGACAGCTGAGGCAGCCAATCGTGTCGGGACATCAGAAGGGGCGGAGCACTGAGAAACAAATACTTTATTTACAAAAGCTGTTTGAGTGTTTTTATTCCTCTCTCACCTGTTCTGAGTCTCTCCTGACTCACCTGTTAGGAGTCTCTCCTGACTCCGCCCACATCAGGATCCTCGTCTTGTCAGCCTCTCTCTGAGTGAATCGCCGCGGCAACAGGTTGTTCCGAGCACTGTGCACTAATGAGGAGAGAGACTCCTTCCAGGTGGGCTGAAAGACACAAGCTGAATATTACCCACTAAACCTTTACCTGTCTGTAGCTAGCTGTCTGTCTGTGGTTACCCGTCTGTCTGTGGTTACCAGTCTGTCTGTAGCTAGCTGTCTTTCTGTGGTTACCAGTTTGTCTGTAGCTAGCTGTCTGTCTGTGGTTACCAGTCTGTCTGTAGCTAGCTGTCTGTCTGTGGTTACCAGTCTGTCTGTAGCTAGCTGTCTTTCTGTGGTTACCAGTTTGTCTGTAGCTAGCTGTCTGTCTGTGGTTACCAGTCTGTCGGTGGTTACCAGTCTGTCTGTAGCTACCTGTCTGTCTGTGGTTACCAGTCTGTCTGTAGCTAGCTGTCTTTCTGTGGTTACCAGTTTGTCTGTAGCTAACTGTCTGTCTGTGGTTACCAGTCTGTCTGTGGTTACCAGTCTGTCTGTAGCTAGCTGTCTTTCTGTGGTTACCAGTCTCTCTGTAGCTAGCTGTCTGTCTGTGGTTACCAGTCTGTCTGTAGCTAGCTGTCTTTCTGGGGTTACCAGTTTGTCTGTAGCTAGCTGTCTGTCTGTGGTTACCAGTCTGTTGGTGGTTACCAGTCTCTCTGTAGCTACCTGTCTGTCTGTGGTTACCAGTCTGTCTGTAGCTACCTGTTTGTCTGTGGTTACCAGTCTGTCTGTAGCTACCTGTCTTTCTGTGGTTACCAGTCTGTCTGTAGCTAGCTGTCTTTCTGTGGTTACCAGTCTGTCTGTAGCTACCTGTCTGTCTGTGGTTACCAGTCTGTCTGTGGTTACCAGTCTTTCTGTGGTTACCAGTCTGTCTGTAGCTACCTGTCTGTCTGTGGTTACCAGTCTGTCTGTAGCTAGCTGTCTTTCTGTGGTTACCAGTCTGTCTGTGGTTACCAGTCTGTCTGTAGCTACCTGTCTGTCTGTGGTTACCAGTCTGTCTGTAGCTAGCTGTCTTTCTGTGGTTACCAGTCTGTCTGTAGCTAGCTGTCTTTCTGTGGTTACCAGTCTGTCGGTGGTTACCAGTCTGTCTGTAGCTACCTGTCTGTCTGTGGTTACCAGTCTCTCTGTAGCTACCTGTCTGTCTGTGATTACCAGTTTGTCTGTAGCTACCTGTTTGTCTGTGGTTACCAGTCTGTCTGTAGCTACCTGTCTGTCTGTGGTTACCAGTCTGTCTGTAACTAGCTGTCTTTCTGTGGTTACCAGTCTGTCTGTAGCTAGCTGTCTGTCTGTGGTTACCAGTCTGTCTGTAGCTACCAGTCTGTCTGTGGTTACCAGTCTTTCTGTGGTTACCAGTCTTTCTGTGGTTACCAGTCTGTCTGTAGCTACCTGTCTGTCTGTGGTTACCAGTCTGTCTGTAGCTAGCTGTCTTTCTGTGGTTACCAGTTTGTCTGTAGCTAGCTGTCTTTCTGTGGTTACCAGTCTGTCGGTGGTTACCAGTCTGTCTGTTGTTACCTGTCTGTCTGTGGTTACCAGTCTGTCTGTAGCTAGCTGTCTTTCTGTGGTTACCAGTTTGTCTGTAGCTAACTGTCTGTCTGTGGTTACCAGTCTGTCGGTGGTTACCAGTCTGTCTGTAGCTAGCTGTCTTTCTGTGGTTACCAGTCTCTCTGTAGCTAGCTGTCTGTCTGTGGTTACCAGTATGTCTGTAGCTAGCTGTCTTTCTGTGGTTACCAGTTTGTCTGTAGCTAGCTGTCTGTCTGTGGTTACCAGTCTGTCGGTGGTTACCAGTCTCTCTGTAGCTACCTGTCTGTCTGTGGTTACCAGTCTGTCTGTAGCTACCTGTTTGTCTGTGGTTACCAGTCTGTCTGTAGCTACCTGTCTTTCTGTGGTTACCAGTCTGTCTGTAGCTACCTGTCTTTCTGTGGTTACCAGTCTGTCTGTAGCTACCTGTCTGTCTGTGGTTACCAGTCTGTCTGTGGTTACCAGTCTTTCTGTGGTTACCAGTCTGTCTGTAGCTACCTGTCTGTCTGTGGTTACCAGTCTGTCTGTAGCTAGCTGTCTTTCTGTGGTTACCAGTCTGTCTGTGGTTACCAGTCTGTCTGTAGCTACCTGTCTGTCTGTGGTTACCAGTCTGTCTGTAGCTAGCTGTCTTTCTGTGGTTACCAGTCTGTCTGTAGCTAGCTGTCTTTCTGTGGTTACCAGTCTGTCGGTGGTTACCAGTCTGTCTGTAGCTACCCTTTCTGTCTGTGGTTACCAGTCTCTCTGTAGCTACCTGTCTGTCTGTGATTACCAGTTTGTCTGTAGCTACCTGTTTGTCTGTGGTTACCAGTCTGTCTGTAGCTACCTGTCTGTCTGTGGTTACCAGTCTGTCTGTAACTAGCTGTCTTTCTGTGGTTACCAGTCTGTCTGTAGCTAGCTGTCTGTCTGTGGTTACCAGTCTGTCTGTGGTTACCAGTCTTTCTGTGGTTACCAGTCTGTCTGTAGCTACCTGTCTGTCTGTGGTTACCAGTCTGTCTGTAGCTAGCTGTCTGTCTGTGGTTACCAGTCTGTCTGTGGTTACCAGTCTGTCTGTAGCTACCTGTCTGTCTGTGGTTACCAGTCTGTCTGTTGTTACCTGTCTGTCGGTGGTTACCAGTCTGTCTGTAGCTAGCTGTCTTTCTGTGGTTACCAGTCTGTCTGTGGTTACCAGTCTGTCTGTAGCTAGCTGTCTGTCTGTGGTTACCAGTCTGTCTGTAGCTACCTGTCTGTCTGTGGTTACCAGTCTGTCTGTAGCTAGCTGCCTGTCTGTGGTTACCAGTCTGTCTGTAGCTAGCTGTCTTTTTGTGGTTACCAGTCTGTCTGTAACTACCTGTCTGTCGGTGGTTACCAGTCTGTCTGTATCTAGCTGTCTTTCTGTGGTTACCAGTCTGTCGGTGGTTACCTGTCTGTTTACCTGCCTGTGGTTACCAGTCTGTCTGTAGCTACCTGTCTGTCTGTGGTTACCAGTTTGTCTGTGGTTATCTATATGTCTTTGCTCACCTGTATGTGGTTACCAGTCTTTTTGTGGTTACCTGTCTGTAGTTACCAGTCTGTCTGTAGTTACCTGTCTGTCTGTGCTCACCTGTCTGCCTGTAGTTACCTGTATGTCTGTAGATACCTGTATGTCTTTAGTTACCTGTCTATGGCTACCTGTATGTCTGTAGTTGCCTATCTGTCTGTAGTTACCTGCCTGTCTGTGGTTACCTGCCTGTCTGTGGTTACCTTTCTGTGGTTACCTGCCTGTCTGTGGTTACCTGCCTGTCTGTGGTTACCTTTCTGTGGTTACCAGTCTGTCTGTAGTTACCTGTCTGTGGTTACCTGTCTGTGCTCACCTGTCTGTTTACCTGTCTTTCTGTGGTTACCAGTCTGTATGTGCTCACCTGTCTGCCTGTAATTACCTGTATGTCTGTGCTCACCTGTCTGTTTACCTGTCTGTCTGTGGTTACCTGTCTGTAGTTACCAGTCTGTCTGTAGTTACCTGTCTGTCTGTGCTCACCTGTCTGCCTGTAGTTACCTGTATGTCTGTAGATACCTGTATGTCTTTAGTTACCTGTCTATGGCTACCTGTATGTCTGTAGTTGCCTATCTGTCTGTAGTTACCTGCCTGTCTGTGGTTACCTGCCTGTCTGTGGTTACCTGCCTGTCTGTGGTTACCTTTCTGTGGTTACCAGTCTGTCTGTAGTTACCTGTCTGTGGTTACCTGTCTGTGCTCACCTGTCTGTTTACCTGTCTTTCTGTGGTTACCAGTCTGTATGTGCTCACCTGTCTGCCTGTAATTACCTGTATGTCTGTGCTCACCTGTCTGTTTACCTGTATGTCTTTAGTTACCTGTCTATGGCTACCTGTATGTCTGTAGTTGCCTATCTGTCTGTAGTTACCTGCCTGTCTGTGGTTACCTGCCTGTCTGTGGTTACCTTTCTGTGGTTACCTGCCTGTCTGTGGTTACCTGCCTGTCTGTGGTTACCTTTCTGTGGTTACCAGTCTGTCTGTAGTTACCTGTCTGTGGTTACCTGTCTGTGCTCACCTGTCTGTTTACCTGTCTTTCTGTGGTTACCAGTCTGTATGTGCTCACCTGTCTGCCTGTAATTACCTGTATGTCTGTGCTCACCTGTCTGTTTACCTGTCTGTCTGTGGTTACCTGTCTGTAGTTACCAGTCTGTCTGTAGTTACCTATCTGTCTGTAGTTACCTCTATGTCTGTAGTTACCTGTCTATGGTTACCTGTCTTTCTGTGGCTACCTGTCTGTCTGTAGATGCCAATCTGTCTGTAGTTGCCAATCTGTCTGTAGTTACCTGTCTGTCTGTAGTTACCTATTTGTGGAAACCTGTCTGTGGTTACCTGAATGTAGGTAGTTACCTGCTTGTGGTTACCAGTCTGTTTGTGGTTACCTGTCTGTAGTCACCAGTCTGTCTGTAGTTACCTGTATGTCTGTTGTTATCTTTCTGTGGTCACCTGTCTGTTTACCTGTTTGTCTGTGGTTAACTTTCTGTCTGTAGTTACCTGTCTGTATGTGCTCACCTGTATGTCTGTAGTTTTCTGTCTGTCTGTGGTTACCAGTCTGTCTGTAGCTACTTGTCTGTCTGTGGTTACCAGTCTGTCGGTGGTTACCTGCCTATCTGTGGTTACCTGTCTGTAGTTGCCAATCTCTCTGTAGTTGCTTGTCTGGCTGTGGTTACCTGTCTGTCTGTGGTTACCTGTCTGTAGTTGCCAATCTGTCTGTAGTTACCTGTCTGTATGTAGTTTCCTATCTGTCTGTGCTCACATTTCTGTCTGTGGTTACCTGTCTGTGGTTACCCGTCTGTCTGTAGTTACCTGTCTGTGGTTACCTTTCTGTCTGTGGTTACCAATATCTCTGCAGTTACCTGTCTGTGGTTACCTGTCTGTCTGTAGTTATCTGTCTGTCTGTAGTTACCTGTATGTCTGTGGTTACCTTTCTGTCTGTAGTTACAAGTCTGTCTGTGCTCACATGTCTGTCTGAGGTTACCTTTATGTCTGTGGTTACCTGTCTGTGGTTACCCGTCTGTCTGTAGTTACGTGTCTGTGGTTACCTGTCTGTCTGTAGTTACCATTATCTCTGTAGTTAACTGTCTGTGGTTACCTGTCTTTAGTTACCTGTCTGTTGTTACCTGTGTGCAGAACTCGAGCACTGGATGTTGAGCTTTGTGTTTCCTCGTCTGTCTGTCTGTCAGGAAGCAGGTCTGACACAGGTGGACGTTCACACATTTCATACATCGATACCTGAACACACACACACATATAATCATTCACAATGCTGCCTTTCAGTTTGTCTTACAGGATCATCTGACCCCAGTACAGTTTAGTTTAGCCTGGTAGAGTCCAGTTAAACCTCAGCAGAGTCCAGTTCAACCTCAGCAGAGTCCAATTCAACCTCATCAGTCCAATTCAACCTCAGCAGAGTCCAGTTCAACCTCAGCAGAGTCCAGTTCAACCTCAGCAGAGTCCAGTTAAACCTCAGCAGAGTCCAGTTCAACCTCAGCAGAGTCCAGTTCAACCTCAGCAGAGTCCAATTCAACCTCATCAGTCCAGTTCAACCTCAGCAGAGTCCAGTTAAACCTCAGCAGAGTCCAGTTCAACCTCAGCAGAGTCCAGTTCAACCTCATCAGTCCAGTTCAACCTCAGCAGAGTCCAGTTCAACCTCAGCAGAGTGCAGTTTATCCTCAGCAGAGTCCAATTCAACCTCAGCAGAGTCCAATTTATCCTCAGCAGAGTCCAGTTCAACCTCAGTAGAGTCCAATTCAACCTCAGCAGAGTCCAGTTCAACCTCAGCAGAGTGCAGTTCAACCTCATCAGTCCAGTTCAACCTCAGCAGAGTCCAGTTCAACCTCAGCAGAGTCCAGTTTACCCTCAGTAGAGTCCAATTCAACCTCAGCAGAGTGCAGTTTGTTCTCAGTAGAGTGCAGTTCAACCTCAGCAGAGTCCAGTTCAACCTCAGCAGAGTGCAGTTCAACCTCAGTAGAGTCCAGTTCAACCTCAGCAGAGTGCAGTTCAACCTCAGTAGAGTCCAGTTCAACCTCAGTAGAGTGCAGTTCAACCTCATCAGTCCAGTTCAACCTCAGTAGAGTCCAGTTCAACCTCAGCAGAGTCCAGTTCAACCTCAGCAGAGTCCAGTTCAACCTCAGCAGAGTGCAGTTAAACCTCATCAGTCCAGTTCAACCTCAGCAGAGTCCAGTTTATCCTCAGCAGAGTGCAGTTCAACCTCAGCAGAGTGCAGTTCAACCTCAGCAGAGTCCAGTTCAACATCAGCAGAGTCCAGTCTATCCTCAGCAGAGTCCAGTTCAACCTCAGTAGAGTCCAGTTCAACCTCAGTAGAGTCCAATTCAACTTCAGCAGAGTCCAGTTTATCCTCCGTAGAGTCCAGTTCAACCTCAGCAGAGTGCAGTTCAACCTCAGCAGAGTCCAGTTCAACCTCAGCAGAGTCCAGTTTATCCTCAGCAGAGTGCAGTTAAACCTCATCAGTCCAGTTCAATCTCAGTAGAGTCCAGTTCAACCTCAGCAGAGTCCAGTTCAACCTCAGCAGAGTCCAGTTCAACCTCAGCAGAGTCCAATTCAACCTCAGCAGAGTGCAGTTTATCTTCAGCAGAGTCCAGTTCAACCTCAGCAGAGTGCAGTTCAACCTCAGCAGAGTCCAGTTCAACCTCAGCAGAGTGCAGTTCAACCTCAGCAGAGTCCAGTTTATCCTCAGCAGAGTGCAGTTAAACCTCATCACTCCAGTTCAACCTCAGCAGAGTCCAGTTCAACCTCAGCAGAGTCCAATTCAACCTCAGCAGAGTCCAGTTTATCCTCAGCAGAGTGCAGTTTATCCTCACTAGAGTCCAGTTCAACCTCAGCAGAGTCCAGTTCAACCTCATCAGTCCAGTTCAACCTCAGCAGAGTCCAGTTTATCCTCAGTAGAGTGCAGTTCAACCTCAGCAGAGTGCAGTTAAACCTCATCAGTCCAGTTCAATCTCAGTAGAGTCCAGTTCAACCTCAGCAGAGTCCAGTTCAACCTCAGCAGAGTCCAGTTCAACCTCAGCAGAGTCCAGTTCAACCTCAGCAGAGTGCAGTTTATCCTCAGCAGAGTGCAGTTCAACCTCAGCAGAGTCCAGTTCAACCTCAGTAGAGTGCAGTTCAACCTCATCAGAGTCCAGTTCAACCTCAGCAGAGTCCAGTTCAACCTCAGCAGAGTCCAGTTTATCCTCAGCAGAGTGCAGTCCAACCTCAGCAGAGTCCAGTTCAACCTCATCAGTCCAGTTCAACCTCACTAGAGTCCAGTTCAACCTCAGCAGAGTCCAGTTCAACCTCATCAGTCCAGTTCAACCTCAGCAGAGTCCAGTTTATCCTCAGTAGAGTGCAGTTCAACCTCAGCAGAGTGCAGTTAAACCTCATCAGTCCAGTTCAATCTCAGTAGAGTCCAGTTCAACCTCAGCAGAGTCCAGTTCAACCTCAGCAGAGTCCAGTTCAACCTCAGCAGAGTCCAGTTTATCCTCAGCAGAGTCCAGTTCAACCTCAGCAGAGTCCAATTCAACCTCAGCAGAGTGCAGTTTATCCTCAGCAGAGTCCAGTTCAACCTCAGCAGAGTCCAGTTCAACCTCAGTAGAGTGCAGTTCAACCTCATCAGAGTCCAGTTCAACCTCAGCAGAGTGCAGTTCAACCTCAGCAGAGTCCAGTTCAACCTCAGCAGAGTCCAGTTCAACCTCAGCAGAGTCCAGTTTATCCTCAGTAGAGTCCAGTTCAACCTCAGTAGAGTCCAGTTCAACCTCAGCAGAGTGCAGTTTATTCTCAGTAGAGTCCAATTCAACCTCAGCAGAGTCCAGTTCAACCTCAGTAGAGTGCAGTTCAACCTCATCAGTCCAGTTCAACCTCAGTAGAGTCCAGTTTATCCTCAGCAGAGTCCAATTCAACCTCAGCAGAGTGCAGTTTATTCTCAGTAGAGTCCAGTTCAACCTCAGCAGAGTCCAGTTCAACCTCAGCAGAGTCCAGTTAAACCTCAGCAGAGTGCAGTTAAACCTCATCAGTCCATTTGAACCTCAGTAGAGTGCAGTTCAACCTCAGCAGAGTCCAGTTCAACCTCAGCAGAGTCCAGTTCAACCTCAGCAGAGTCCAATTCAACCTCAGCAGAGTCCAATTCAACCTCAGCAGAGTCCAATTCAACCTCAGCAGAGTCCAGTTCAACCTCAGCAGAGTGCAGTTAAACCTCAGCAGAGTCCAGTTTATCCTCAGCAGAGTCCAGTTCAACCTCAGCAGAGTCCAGTTCAACCTCAGCAGAGTGCAGTTTATTCTCAGTAGAGTCCAGTTCAACCTCAGCAGAGTCCAGTTCAACCTCAGCAGAGTGCAGTTCAACCTCAGTAGAGTCCAGTTCAACCTCAGTAGAGTCCAGTTCAACCTCAGTAGAGTCCAGTTCAACCTCAGCAGAGTCCAGTTTATCCTCAGCAGAGTGCAGTTCAACCTCAGCAGAGTGCAGTTCAACCTCAGCAGAGTCCAATTCAACCTCAGCAGAGTCTAGTTCAACCTCAGCAGAGTCCAATTCAACCTCAGCAGAGTCCAGTTCAACCTCAGCAGAGTGCAGTTAAACCTCATCAGTCCAGTTCAACCTCAGCAGAGTCCAATTCAACCTCAGCAGAGTCCAGTTCAACCTCAGCAGAGTCCAGTTTATCTTCAGCAGAGTCCAGTTCAACCTCAGCAGAGTGCAGTTAAACCTCATCAGTCCATTTGAACCTCAGCAGAGTCCAGTTCAACCTCAGCAGAGTCCAGTTTATCTTCAGCAGAGTCCAGTTCAACCTCAGTAGAGTCCAATTCAACCTCAGCAGAGTCCAGTTCAACCTCAGCAGAGTCCAGTTCAACCTCAGCAGAGTCCAGTTCAACATCAGCAGAGTGCAGTTAAACCTCATCAGTCCAGTTCAACCTCAGCAGAGTCCAGTTCAACCTCAGCAGAGTCCAGTTCAACCTCAGTAGAGTCCAGTTTATCCTCAGTAGAGTGCAGTTCAACTTCATCAGTCCAGTTCATCCTCAGCAGAGTCCAATTCAACCTCAGCAGAGTCCAGTTCAACCTCAGCAGAGTGCAGTTAAACCTCATCAGTCCAGTTCAACCTCTGCAGAGTCCAGTTTATCTTCAGCAGAGTCCAGTTCAACCTCAGCAGAGTGCAGTTAAACCTCATCAGTCCAGTTCAATCTCAGTAGAGTCCAGTTCAACCTCAGCAGAGTCCATGTTAAACCTCAGTAGAGTCCATGTTAAACCTCAGTAAAGTCCATGTTAAACCTCAGTAGAGTCCAGTTAAGCCTCAGTAGAGTCCATGTTAAACCTCAGTAGAGTCCAGTTAAACCTCAGTACAGTCCATGTTAAACCTCAGTAGAGTCCATGTTAAACCTTAGTAAAGTCCATGTTAAACCGCAGTAGAGTCCATGTTAAACCTCAGTAGAGTCTAGTTAAACCTCAGTAAAGTCCATGTTAAACCTCAGTAATGTCCATGTTAAACCTCAGTAGAGTCCATGTTAAACCTCAGTAGAGTCCAGTTAAACCTCAGTAGAGTCCATGTTAAACCTCAGTAAAGTCCATGTTAAACCTCAGTAGAGTCCATGTTAAACCTCAGTAAAGTCCAGTAGGGTCCAGTTAAACCTCAGTAGAGTCTAGTTAAACCTCAGTAGAGTCCATGTTAAACCTCAGTAATGTCCATGTTAAACCTCAGTAGAGTCCAGTTAAACCTCAGTAGAGTCTAGTTAAACCTCAGTAAAGTCCATGTTAAACCTCAGTAATGTCCATGTTAAACCTCAGTAGAGTCCAGTTAAACCTCAGTAGAGTCCAGTTAAACCTCAGTAAAGTCCATGTTAAACCTCAGTAGAGTCCAGTTAAACCTCAGTACAGTCCATGTTAAACCTCAGTAGAGTCCAGTTAAACCTCAGTAAAGTCCATGTTAAACCTCAGTAGATTCCAGTTAAACCTCAGTACAGTCCATGTTAAACCTCAGTAGAGTCCAGTTAAACCTCAGTAGAGTCCAGTTAAACCTCAGTAAAGTCCATGTTAAACCTCAGTAGATTCCAGTTAAACCTCAGTACAGTCCATGTTAAACCTCAGTAGAGTCCAGTTAAACCTCAGTAGAGTCCATGTTAAACCTCAGTAGAGTCCAGTTAAACCTCAGTACAGTCCATGTTAAACCTCAGTAGAGTCCAGTTAAACCTCAGTAGAGTCCAGTTAAACCTCAGTAAAGTCCATGTTAAACCTCAGTAATGTCCATGTTAAACCTCAGTAGAGTCCAGTTAAACCTCAGTAGAGTCTAGTTAAACCTCAGTAAAGTCCATGTTAAACCTCAGTAATGTCCATGTTAAACCTCAGTAGAGTCCAGTTAAACCTCAGTAGAGTCCAGTTAAACCTCAGTAAAGTCCATGTTAAACCTCAGTAGAGTCCAGTTAAACCTCAGTAGAGTCCATGTTAAACCTCAGTAGAGTCCAGTTAAACCTCAGTAAAGTCCATGTTAAACCTCAGTAGATTCCAGTTAAACCTCAGTACAGTCCAGTTAAACCTCAGTAGAGTCCAGTTAAACCTCAGTAAAGTCCATGTTATACCTCAGTTATTATTTTCTGAAGATGATGATTTGTTAAAGTTAAAATAACTGTCCTGATTGGAAGATGTTGGCTCACCTGAGTCCGGTGATGGGGACCGTCTTGCAGGTATGGCAGCGGACGGCGTGATTGACTTTCTGACTAACGGCCAGGCGATGCAAAGTGGGTAACCATAGCAACAGACGTGGCTCGCTCTTCAGCCATGACAACACGTGTTCTTTGCTTGCCATCGGGGTCATAACCTGTAAACACACACAGTCAGTGGGTCGCTATGACAACCGCCAGTCACCTGCCGCTGAGGACTTTTTGAGTTCTCACCCCGGTAAAACATGACCCCACCGCCGCCTCCACGCCGCTAAAAACACCTTCCTCCTGCACCGCCGCAGGAACCTGAACACACAAACATGTTAGAAAGAGAAGGGCATGCTGGGGAAATGTATTCTGTACTGGTTTTACCTGGCTGAGGTCCTGCAGTAAAGATCTGAGTCCAGACCTGCTGACTGATCCAGAGCAGTTTGCTGCAACACTCACCAGAGCTGCAGGACACAGAGGCGTTTTATTCTGAAGGGAGAAGTGTATTACTCTGAAGGGAGTTTTATTCTGAAGGAAACTGTTTTATTCTGAAGGGACCAGTGTTTTACTTTGAAGGGAGTTTTATTCTGAAGGAAACTGTTTCATTCTGAAGGAAAAAGTTTATTCTGAAGGAAACTGTTTTATTCTGACGGGACCAGTGTTTTACTTTGAAGGGAGTTTTATTCTGAAGGAAACTGTTTCATTCTGAAGGAAAAAGTTTATTCTGAAGGAAACTGTTTTATTCTGAAGGGACCAGTGTTTTACTTTGAAGGGAGTTTTATTCTGAAGGAAACTGTTTCATTCTGAAGGAAAAAGTTTTATTCTGAAGGAAACGGTTTTATTCTGAAGGGACCAGTGTTTTACTCTGAAGGGAGTTTTATTCAGAAGTAAACTGTTTTATTCTGAAGGGAACAGTGTTTTCTCTGAAGTAAACTGTTTTATTCTGAAGGGAACAGTCATGGGAGAAGTGCGGGAGAAGTTCGGAGAAGACATGGAGAAGGACTTTCGGTCGGCACCAAAGTGTTTCTGGAGAACTGTCCGCCATCTCAGGAGGGGGAAGCGGGGAACCGTCCAAGCTGTGTACAGTAAGGATGGGACCCTGCTGACCTCAACTGGGGAGGTAATTGGGCGGTGGAAGGAACACTTTGAGGAACTCCTAAATCCGACTGACTCTTTAGTAGAGGCAGAGCTCGAGGCTGATGGGGGATTCTTGTCAATTTCCCTGGTGGAAGTCACTGAGGTAGTCAAACATCTCCACAGTGGCAAAGCCCCAGGGATTGATGAGATCTGCCCAGAAATGCTAAAAGCTTTGGGTGTGGAGGGGCTGTCTTGGATGACACGTCTCTTTAACATTGCATGGAAGTCGGGTACAGTGCTCAAGGAGTGGCAGACTGGGGTGGTGATTCCCCTGTTCAAAAAGGGGGACCAGAGAGTGTGTGCCAATTACAGGGGTATCACACTTCTCAGCCTCCCCGGTAAAGTCTACTCCAGGGTGCTGGAACGGAGGGTTCGGCCGATTGTCGAACCTCAGATTGAAGAGGAACAATGCGGTTTTCGTCCCGGTCCTGGAACAACTGACCAGCTCTTTACTCTCACAAGGATCCTGGAGTGGGCTTGGGAGTATGCCCATCCAGTCTACATGTGCTTTGTAGAGGGTTGGCCTTCGCCAGGGCTGCCCTTTGTCACCAATCCTGTTTGTGATATTCATGGACAGGATATCGAGGCGTAGTCGTGGCGAGGAGGGGCTATGGTTCGGGGGCTTGGGATCTCGTCACTGCTTTTTGCGGATGATGTGGTCCTGATGGCATCATCGGTCCGTGACCTTCAGCTTTTACTGGATCGGTTCGCAGCCAAGTGCGAAGCGGTTGGGATGAGGATTAGCACCTCTAAATCTGTGACCATGGTTCTCAGCAGGAAACTGGTGGAGTGCCAACTACGGGTAGGGAATGAGTCCTTACCCCAAGTGAAGGAGTTCAATACCTCGGGGGCTTGTTCACGAGTGAGGGGAGACTGGAGCAGGAGATTGGCTGGAGAATCGGAGCAGCGTTGTGGTGAAAGGAGAGCTGAGCCGTAAGACAAAGCTCTTGATCTACCGGTCGATTTTCGCTCCTACCCTCACCTATGGCTGGGTCGTGACCGAAAGAACGAGATCGCAGGTACAAGCGGCCGAAATGGGTTTCCTCAGGCGGGTGGCTGGTGTCTCCCTTAGAGATAGGGTGAGAAGCCTGGCCATCCGCGAGGAGCTCAGAGTAGAGCCGCTGCTCCTTTGCGTTGAAAGGAGCCAGTTGAGGTGGTTTGGGCATCTGGTAAGGATGCCTCCCGGACGCCTCCCTAGGGAGGTGTTCCAGGCACGTCTAGCTGGGAGAAGGCCTCGGGGAAGACCCAAGACTAGGTGGAGAGATTATATCTCCACACTGGCCTGGGAACGCCTCGGGATCCCCGAGTCAGAGCTGGTTAATGTGGCTCGGGAAAAAGAAGTTTGGGGTTCCCTGCTGGAGCTGCCCCCCGCGACCTGATCCCGGATAAGCGGATGAAGATGGATAGATGGATGGATGGATCTCTACAGACAGACAGGTCCTCACCTCTGTATTTGTCCAGCAGAGTTTTATTCTGAAGGAAACAGTGTTTTACTCTGAAGGAAACTGTTTTATTCTGAAGGGAACAATGTTTTACTCTGAAAGAAAAAGTGTTTTACTCTGAAAGAAACTGTTTTATTCTGAAGGAAACAATGTTTTACTCCGAAGGGAGTTTTATTCTGAAGGAAACAATGTTTTATTCTGAAGGAAACAATGTTTTACTCTGAAAGAAAAAGTGTTTACTCTGAAAGAAACTGTTTTATTCTGAAGGAAACAATGTTTTACTCCGAAGGGAGTTTATTCTGAAGGAAACAATGTTTTACTCTGAAGGGAGTTTACTCTGAAGGAAACTGTGTTTTTCTCTGAAGGAAACTGTTTTATTCTGAAGGGAACACTCATTCTCTACAGACAGACAGGTCCTCACTTCTGTATTTGTCCAGCAGAGTTTTATTCTGAAGGAAAAAGTGTTTTACTCTGAAGGAAACTGTTTTATTCTGAAGGAAACAGTGTTTTACTCTGAAGGAAACTGTTTTATTCTGAAGGAAACAATGTTTTACTCCGAAGGGAGTTTTATTCTGAAGGAAACAATGTTTTACTCTGAAAGAAAAAGTGTTTTACTCTGAAAGAAACTGTTTTATTCTGAAGGAAACAATGTTTTACTCCGAAGGGAGTTTATTCTGAAGGAAACAATGTTTTACTCTGAAGGGAGTTTTACTCTGAAGGAAACTGTGTTTTTCTCTGAAGGAAACTGTTTTATTCTGAAGGGAACACTCATTCTCTACAGACAGACAGGTCCTCACTTCTGTATTTGTCCAGCAGAGTTTTATTCTGAAGGAAAAAGTGTTTTACTCTGAAGGAAACTGTTTTATTCTGAAGGAAACAATGTTTTACTCCGAAGGGAGTTTTATTCTGAAGGAAACAATGTTTTACTCTGAAGGAAAAAGTGTTTTACTCTGAAAGAAACTGTTTTATTCTGAAGGAAACAATGTTTTACTCTGAAGGAAAAAGTGTTTTACTCTGAAGGGAGTTTTACTCTGAAGGAAACAGGGTTTTCCTCTGAAGGAAACTGTTTTATGAAGGGAACACTCATTCTCTACAGACAGACAGGTCCTCACTTCTGTATTTGTCCAGCAGAGTTTTATTCTGAAGGAAACAATGTTTTACTCTGAAGGGAGTTTTATTCTGAAGGAAACAGTTTTTCTCTGAAGGAAACTGTTTTATTCTGAAGGGAACTCTCATTCTCTACAGACAGACAGGTCCTCACTTCTGTATTTGTCCAGCAGAGTTTTATTCTGAAGGAAAAAGTGTTTTACTCTGAAGGAAACTGTTTTATTCTGAAGGAAACAATGTTTTACTCCGAAGGGAGTTTATTCTGAAGGAAACAGTGTTTTACTCTGAAGGAAACTGTTTTATTCTGAAGGAAACAATGTTTTACTCTGAAGGGAGTTTTATTCTGAAGGAAACAGTGTTTTACTCTGAAGGAAACAGTGTTTTTCTCTGAAGGAAACTGTTTTATTCTGAAGGGAACTATCATTCTCTACAGACAGACAGGTCCTCACTTCTGTATTTGTCCAGCAGAGTTTTATTCTGAAGGAAACAGTGTTTTTCTCTGAAGGAAACTGTTTTATTCTGAAGGGAACTCTCATTCTCTACAGACAGACAGGTCCTCACTTCTGTATTTGTCCAGCAGAGTTTTATTCTGAAGGAAACAGTGTTTTTCTCTGAAGGAAACTGTTTTATTCTGAAGGAAACAATGTTTTACTCTGAAAGAAAAAGTGTTTTACTCTGAAGGAAACTGTTTATTCTGAAGGAACAATGTTTTACTCCGAAGGGAGTTTACTCTGAAGGAAACAGTTTTACTCTGAAGGAAACAGTTTATTCTGAAGGGAACTGTCATTCCCTACAGACAGGTCCTCACCTCTGTATTTGTCCAGCAGAGTTTCAGCAGACAGCGCGATCAGAGCCGTTGAAGAGAAGCAGCTGAAACAGAACCAGCCTGAGTCCTGAAACACAAACAGGGTTTGTCCTCATGGTGGCGCTACTGGTTACTGTTACTATGATACAAACACAGTGAAGGAATTTCTGTGAGCTTCCTGTCACAGCAGCACATCATGTAAAAACCTGATGAAGTCATGTATTTATAAAGGTATAATATTATTTATCCATAACAGTTAAAGTCTGTATTTATAAAGGTATAATATATATTTATCCATAACAGTTAAAGTCATGTATATAAAGGTATAATATGATTTATCCATAACGGTTAAAGTCATGTATTTATAAAGGTATAATATATTTATCCATAACGGTTAAAGTCATGTATTTATAAAGGTTATATATATTTATCCATAACGGTTAAAGTCATGTATTTATAAAGGTATATATATATTTATCCATAACGGTTAAAGTCATGTATTTATAAAGGTATAATATATATTTATCCATAACGGTTAAAGTCATGTATTTATAAAGGTATATAATATTTATCCATAACGGTTAAAGTCATGTATTTATAAAGGTATAATAATTTTATCCATAACAGTTAAAGTTATGTATTTATAAAGGTATAATATATATTATCCATAACGGTTAAAGTCATGTATTTATAAAGGTATAATATATATTTATCCTAACGGTTAAAGTCATGTATATTTAAAGGTATAATATATATTTATCCATAACGGTTTAAAGTCATGTATTTATAAAGGTATAATATATATTTATCCATAACGGTTAAAGTCATGTATTTATAAAGGTATAATATATTTATCCATAACAGTTAAAGTCATGTATTATAAAGGTATAATATATATTTATCCATAACAGTTAAAGTCATGTATTTATAAAGATATGATATATATTATAGACCCTGACCTGTCAAACAGCCTGAACATCAGACTGCACGTCTCCTCGGAGCCTCATCAGTCACATGACCGACACTTCCTGTGATGCGCTATGGAACATCCTGTTCAGAGTCCGGGTCACTTCCTGCCTGTTCAGCCCCACGTCCTGCTGCAGCGTAGCTCCGCCCACCGCACGTAAGGCCGCCACGATGTGTCGAAGAGACACGACGTGCACTGAAAACACACAAAGACACTGCAGCCAGACGGAGTTCTGTTGTAAAGATGAAGGCCCTCCGTAACGCCAGAGCAGCGTACTACTCGTCATTAATAGAGGAAAATAGGAACAACCCAGGTTTCTTTTCAGCACTGTAGCCAGGCTGACAGAGTCACAGCTCTATTGAGCCAAGTATTCCCATAGCTCTCAGTAGTTACGACTTCATGAGCTTCTTTAATGATAAAATTATAGCTATTAGAGACAAAATTCACCAAGACCTGCCCTCAACTGGCACCGACTTATCTCTAAACTCAGGAACCTTAAACAGCTGTAGAACCAGATACATGTTTAGACTGTTTGCTTCCCTCAATCTTTACCAACTAACTTAAATTATTTCTTCATCTAAACCATCAACCTGCCTCTTAGACCCCATCCCGACTAGGCTGCTTAAAGATGTTACCCTTAGTCAGCACCTCTATACTAGATATGATCAATCTATCTTTATCAAAGGCTATGTACCACAGTACTTTAAGTAGCTGTAATTAAACCTCTTCTGAAAAAGCCCAAACCTGATCCGGATGTTCTAGCAGTCGCCAAACAGCTGTGTGACTTTCTATATAGCAAGAACAACTTAAGTTCAAATACACACACTGTGTTGTACTATACTGCAGTACTGTCTGTAAGTGATGTGATTAGTACATGTAGGACTGAGAATAATATTTGATATGATGAGGTAATATACATAGTTGGTAAAACACAGAAACCTAATGTAATAAAATAGTTTAATATAGTATATAAATAAAAGCACTAATGTACTACACCTAGTATAAATGAATTAAAATAAATCTATAACAAATGTTTTGGCCTCACGGTGACAGAGTTTCTGCAGAGACTGAAGCTTCATGGCGACTCTGTAGACGGATGGACGGATTTCATTCAGTCCTTCTGAAGGAAACAAGAACTCAAGATCAGTACAACTATTTTATATAACCCAGAAATAAATCTAACTAAATGCAACGACAGGAAACCACCAACTGCAGCTGCGTCTTTCAGCTTATTTTCATATTTAATATATGAAATATTAAAATATATCTGATTTATGATATTACAATCAACATAATATTTCAAAACAGTAGAACCCAGTAGAATACTAAAGAAATGATAGAATCCAGAAGAGCCCAGTAGAATACTTAAGAACATGGTAGAACCCAGTAGAATACTTAAGAACGCGATAGAACCCAGTAGAATACTTAAGAACATGGTAGAACCCAGTAGAATACTTAAGAACATGATAGAACCCATAAGAACCCAGTAGAATACTTAAGAACATGGTAAACCCAGTAGAATACTAAAGAACATGGTAGAACCCAGTAGAATACTTAAGAACATGGTAGAACCCAGTAGAATACTTAAGAACATGATAGAACCCAGAATAACCCAGTAGAATACTAAAGAACATGGTAGAACCAGTAGAATACTTAAGAAACATGATAGAACCCAGAAGAACCCAGTAGAATACTTAAGAACATGGTAGAACCCAGTAGAATACTTAAGAACATAGTAGAACCCAGTAGAATACCCGAGAACATAGTAGAACCCAGTAGAACCCAGTAGATACTAAAGAACATGGTAGAACCCAGTAGAACCCAGTAGATACTTAAGAACATGATAGAACCCAGAAGAACCCAGTAGATACTTAAGAACATAGTAGAAGGCAGTAGAACTCAGTAGAATACTAAAGAACATGATAGAGCACAGTATAATACTTAAGAACATGGTAGAACCCAGTAGAATACTTAAGAACATGGTAGAACCCAGTAGAATACCCGAGAACATAGTAGAAGACAGTAGAACCCAGTAGAAGACTAAGAACATGGTAGAACCCAGTAGAATACTTAAGAACATGATAGAACACAGTAGAATACTTAAGAACATGGTAGATCCCAGAAGAACCCAGTAGGACAAGCTTACTGAGGCTGTCCAGATCCATGATGATTTTCATTGAGTCTGGGAACACGAAATATATATAAATACATAAATACCATATAATATATATAAATACTATATATATATATAAATACATATAAATACCATATAAATATTATATACATATATAAATATATAAATACATAAATACCATAAATATATAATACACTATATAAATATATATAAATATATATAAATACTATATAAATACATATAAATACCATATAAATACTATATAATATATATATACACTATATAAATACCATAAATACTATAAATACATATAATATTTTTGTTGTTTATTTGTTTATTTATTTATTACAGGGACAGTGCATATTCATAAACATTTCTGTCAATATGCCAGAATTAGCCTAAAGGCTATTTTTCATCTGCAGTCCCTAGACAGATGTTAAGAGTCACCTAAAAAGGATTACATAGTACATAGCACTAAAAAATTAAGATACATTTAGTAAAATATCAATTATTAAAATATACAATCTAACACATCAAAACAACAATCGGACAAACATCACGTAAAAACATGACACACACATAAGGGAGAAAAAAAAAAAAGTCAACAGTATGCATCAAGGGCATGTGTAGTAATAGGTTAATGTTGACAGCTCTGATGATCAATAAGCCATTTCCTTAACTGAATCTTAAATGAACTATACGTGTTTATATTTCTGATAATTATGGGGGTGAGGTTCCACTCAGCAGCAGTATTTTATAAATAAGACATAGTTTGAGTATTTAACCATATTATCCCAACTGAGCAATCTATATTTTTGTAATATTGGACAGTGATGAGAAATACATGGTTTCTTATCCAGAGTTTTAACAGTTCGTTTGTAAAGTGATTGCAGAGGTTTCAAAGATGTAATACTAGCTTGTGCCCAAATGGGTAGACAGTAAGTGATGTGTGAGAAAATCATAGAGTGCATGTACATTTTTGCTGCCTGTGTGGACATTTGATAGCGAATGTGTCTAAAGTTACTGAGACTATATTTAATTCGATTACAGACCATTTTACATGTGATGAAGATGATAACTTTGAATCAATTAAAACTCCCAGATATTTGTATTCTGACACGATCTGCAATTTTTCCCTGAAACAAAAATATCTGGCTCAACACTGAAGTTTTTGTGGGACTTAGTAAAAACATTGCTACTGTTTTGATGTATTCAGCTGCAGGCAGGAGTGTTTCAACCAAGCTGTGATGCTATCCATGGAGTTAGTGAGCTTCTCAACCACCTGAGCGATATTCCTACCGTGTGCATAGACTACGGTGTCATCAGCATACATCTGCACAAAAACATCAGGACAAGCGAGTGGGAGGTCATTATATAAATGGAGAATAACAGAGGCCCTAAATTAGATCCCTGAGGAAGACTGGTGGACAGACTCAAGGCCGCTAATTTAGATGATTGAACTCTGACATGTTGGGAACGGTCAGTGAGATAAGACTCAACCCATTTAAGTGCATCTGAGGAAAAATTAAAATTACATAATTTTGTCAGTAAAATTTTATAATTAACAGTGTCAAAAGCCTTCCTGAGATCCAGAATACCGCTCCAACAACCCACCTTGATCTAACAGAACTCTTATATTTTCAGTAAGGAAACAAGTCGCAGTCTCGGTGGAGTATTTTGCTCTAAAGCCAAACTGCATAGGGTGGAGAGCATAGGGATGGTGTTAGATGGTTAATAATTTGCTTTGCAATCAGTTTCTCGGCAATCTTAGACACTGTGGGCAATATACTTATGGGCCTGTAGTTTGACATGGAATGAGGATCTCCACTTTTAAAAACTGGAACAACAACAGCTGGTTTCCACATGCTTGGGAACAAATTTTGAGAAATGGACAGATTAATAATTTGGTGATGGGGGTGTAATTGATGTACTTAAAGCCTTGAGCATCACCGTATCTATATCAAAAATATCTTTGCATCTCGATGGTCTGAGTGATTTAATGGTCTGTGACACTTCTAGTTCTGTGATATTAAATATGTTGAAAACTGATTGACTTGTGTCTATTGGCGGAAATACGTTCTCAGGTGTAAAACAGCTTGCTATGTTAGCCACAGAATCAATAAAATGATGATTAAAAGCCTCTGCTACCTCTAGAGTATTGTTTGTCAGCCGGTCATTTACTTTAATTTCTACAGTTTTGTTCATTGGGTTGATCACCTGTCATTTTTCTTAGCTGGCTCCATATTACTTTAGGATTTCCATTAGATTTCTCAATTATAGTAATAAAGAAATCAGCCTTTGCTTTTCTTAATGACCTTACAACTTATTTCTCAACATGGCGAAACGTCCTCTGTCATGCGTTGATTTAGTTTTATTGCTAATTTTAGGGCTAAGTCTCGCTCTTTTTATAATGTCTGGATTTATCCAAGGTACAGTGTTTTTGTTATGTTTGTACTTGATTTTTGAATGAATTCTTTAATAGTTCTCTCAAGTGTAATTAAAAATGTTTACATTTTACCATATAAAATATATAATACTATAAATACTAAATACATATAATACTATATAATATATATAATACTATATAAATACATATAAATACTATAAATACCATATAAACTACATATAAATACTATATAATACATCAGCGTGCCCTGGAAAGAGAATAGAGGAACAAACTGACCTTCCTGTCGTCTGATGAACAAACGTCTTCTGCTGCTGAAACAAACTGAAGCTTCTGAATTATGAATGAGGGGTTCAGGTTTCATCACAGCTGCTGCTCACCTGCTGCCTGTGGACCAATCAGCCGCCGGCAGGGCACCGACTGTACTCACATTCAGTACGGGGCCGTGTTTCACAAGGCTTAACTAACTCTGAGCTGATGCTGCGTTCCAGGCCGCTCTGGGAAACGTCTGACTTTGACCTCAAAGCGCTTCAGGTGCGTGGTGCTGCCTGACGCCACATGTAATCAGTAAACATGGCCGACCGTGACACACTTCTGTTCTTTGTCAGGTTTCAGCAGACTCTTGGTGTTCATTAACAGGATAAAAATACGCTGTGAGTCCTTCCAGCTACATCAGCTGCTAATCCTCAGCACAAGCTGGAGGCCATGTTTCATTTTCCTGAAGAACGTTTGGGCCAAGAAGATGACTTACTGTAAGCAGCTACCTGATAACACTGAGAAA